AGAGAAGTGACCTGACCACTTAGGAATTCATGATCAGAGGACACTGTGAGGGCACTTTCCACAGACCACTTTTTTTTCCATCCACAGATTTTCAGACCTAACCTTAATCTAGCATTTCTTTTTATTTGTTTGTTTTGTTTTGTTAATCTTCACAGACCCTATTTTTCTATTGATTTTTTTTTATAAAGTGGAAGGGAGGGAGAGAGATAGGAGAAACACCAATGTGAGAGAGACATTCATTGGTTGCCTTCTGCATGCGGCCTAACCAGGGCCAGAGATATGTGCCCTTGACTGGAATCGACCCTGGGACCTTTCAATCTGTGGGCCAATGTTCTATCCACTGAACCAAACCAGCCAGGGTTAGTATATCTTTTATACCAGAGAGACTTATGTCTCAAAGGAACCAAACATAATACAGAGATATTAAAAATGTGGGTGTCGGGGCACATGCCCAGGTTGCATGCTCAATCCCCAGTGAAGGCTGTGCAGGATGCAGCCGATTAGTGTTTCCCTCTCATCAATGTTACAATCTCTCTGTTCCTCTCCCTTCAATAAAATCACTAAAAACATTTAAAATATATAGTTAGATAGATATAGACAAATATAGATATAGATATAGATGATATAGATAGATATAGATATAGATATAGATATAGATATAGATATAGATATAGATATAGATATAGATATAGATATAGATATAGATACAGATAGATATAGATATAGATATAGATAGAGATAGAGATAGAGATAGAGATAGAGATAGAGATAGAGATAGAGATAGAGATAGAGATAGAGATAGAGATAGAGATAGAGATAGAGATAGAGATAGAGATAGATATAGATAGATATACTAGGGGCCCAGTGCATGAAATTTGTGCACTGGTGGGGGGAGGTCCTTCAGCCCAGATTGCAAGAGGGTGCAGCCCAGGCTGAGGGACCCCACCAGTGCACAATTGGGGCCGGGGAGCGGCACAGGAAGTTGGCCGGCCAGAGAGAGACCACAGGAGGGCTCCAGGGTATGTCCAGCCCATCTCACTCAGTCCCCATTGGCTGGACTCTAGCAGCAAGCTAACCTACTGGTCAGAGTGTCTGCCTCCTGGTGATCAGTACACATCATAGTGAGTGGTTGAGTGGCCTTAGCATATCATTAGCATATTATGCTTTGATTGGTTGAACAGATGATTGAAAAACCAGATACTTAGCATATTAGGCTTTTATTACATAGAATGGGTGACAGTGGACTTTCTGGTTTTCCTGGGCTTCATAGAATGCTAAGATTAAAGGGTGAAATTGGCCCCAAAAAAGATAAAAGATTACCTGGATTTTATGGTAAAAAGAGTATAAAAGGCCGGGACTGGTTTGGTTCAGTGGATATAGCGTCGGCCTGCTGACTGAAAGGTCCTGGGTTCGATTCCGGTCAAGGGCATGTACCTTGGTTGCAGGTACATCCCTTGTGGGGGGTGTGCAAGAGGCGGTTGGTCGATGTTTCTCTCTCATTGACGTTTCTAACTCTCTGTCCCTCTCAATTCCTCTCTGTGTAAAATCAATAAAATATATATTTTTTAAAAGAGTATAAAAGGTGACAAGAGGAAGCTGGTTTGCCTTTCCTTCCCAGAAGTGCCTGGGAGCCATGCCTGATCACCCATCCGGATACACTCACCACCATCACCCATCACTGTGTCTCCCTCTGCTCAGTGTGCCCACCCCATCACTGAGTCAATATGAACCCCCACCCTTGGCCTTTCAAATGCCAACCCCCCAACCATGGTCACGCCAATCCCCAGAACAATGATAAGGATACAACTTCCCAGCATAAGGATCAAGTCATGGTGATGGCTTCCAGGGGATGCTTTCAGGGGACTCTCCCATCCCAGACCCCACAGCCCTCTCCCGAGCCCACCTGAGTCCCCATGACACTTCCGTCAGAAAGACACTCCAACTCACCGGCTATATTTACCCTGGCAGAGGGTCAGTGTCGCAAGGGGTCAGTGTCTATGTCAGAGGTGTACTCCAGCAATGAGGCCGCCTTCTCCAGGTTCTTCCTGACAAAAATATGGAACACTTCATGATTGTGAGCATCATCCTTGCACAGGGGCCATGCTAATCTCTATATCATTCCAATTTAGTATTGCCAAAGCAAGTACAACAAATTGATTCTAAAAGATATTGTGCCAGATGGGTACTGGAACTATCTGGGAGAACGGTTTGTGAAGTATATGATTGATTGTCTAATCACTGTGATGTACACCTGAAACCAATAAAAATAATATTTTTCAAAAGGACAGTGCCCTCAGTAAACACTTGTTGGATTTTTTTAAAGGAATAAAAAGTAAGTAAAAGATATGTGGAAAGCCAAAAGACTTAGAAAACCAAAATAATATTTCCTTAATTGACATCAAGACCTTCGATAGCCTGTAGTAGTTAAGTCAGAAGGATAGACAAAGAGATCAGTAGCACAGAAGAGAAAAATCCAGAAATATACCCATGCTTATATGTAAATGGATGTTTTCCTTAACTTTGGGTAGACAAAGATTTCTTATTACACTAAAGTTATTAACCACACAAAAAATAGATTTGACTTCATCAAAACTATTTCTCCTCATCAAAACACATAGTTATGAAAATGAAAGGCAAACTGGCAGAAAGTATTTCCAATACATAAATCAAACACGGTGCCTCCGGGAACATGGTGGGCATGGTGCGAGGGCAGGCATCTCCTCACACTTCCTCCTGGGGAGATGGCCGGCTCTGGGCATGTTGATGTAAACCCAGTGTGGGGAGAGAGCCAGGGGGTGGGCTCTCGGATCTTTTCAGATCCGGATTTGGAGCCAGGATCGGGCGGGCGGGGTTAGAGGACTCTGCCCAGCTTCTGTGCCTTGGGCGTATGGGCTCCCAGGAGCCATCTGCTTTGCATCTTTAAACTCTGGCCTCTAGGGCGCCCCTCCCACCCCATGTATTTTTCCATCCTTTGGTATCAGCAGCCAGAGTGCAACCATAAGATTTTATGAATTTCTGACTCATCTCTGCACTGTCCCCTTGAGGCCCCCCAGTGAAGCTGACAGAGCTAATTTCTTTCAGCAGAAGTTGGGCGGGGTTGTGGGAGGAGGGAAGGTATGTGATCAGGCTTCCCACTTCTACTTAATTTCTGTCCCCAGCCCTTTGTCAGTTCATTGCTCTACTTCCAAGCCCAAAGATGGGGATGGATAACTCCTCAGGTTATTTTTACCTAATAATGCACATTCATAGGCACTTCCAGTTACTTTGTACCTGTTTTCCTTTCTTCACCCCTCCTCATAACCCCTCTTCATACCAAATTGTACAGTTTTCCCTGCGTGCAGTTATGAAGGTTTTGATAGGAAATTCCTCCCAGATTTTGTCAGCTGAGCCTCTAGGGACAAATATCCTTGATGCTTTATTTCATCAACTAGAGGCCTGGTGCAGGAAATTCGTGCACAGGGTGGGGAGGGGTCCCACGGAGTGAACATGATTAACTTTGTGTGTATGTGTGTGGTAGTGGGTAATGGTGGGGGATGATGGTTGTGCAGTTTTAATTGCTAAAAGCAGGGTGTTTAGCATATTTGTGCTGAGATTTCAGACATATAACCTCTTAAAAAAAAAAAACTAAAAAAAAGAAAACCACTTATTTCCACGATATATAACAAACTCCTACACATCAGTAAGGAGTAAAAGACAACACAATAATATAAATAGGACAAAGACTTGAACGGACACTTTACATGAAGATATATAATACATAAAGATACATGAATCGCCAATAAGCATATAAAAATGTGATCAGTCATAAAAGAAATACAAATTAAACCTATTTGAGATAGCATATCACACATTAGAATTAGAAAGGCTATTTCTTATAGATTTTGAAAAACCGTTTGGCAGACACTCTAATGGTTAAACATACTGCTACACAATTTTAATTTTAGCTCTTTCTCCAAGAGGAATGAAAACATCTCGCCACAAAAAGAAGAGCAGCTTTATTTATACTGGTCCCAAACTGGAATCAATCAATCCAAATGTTCATCGATAGGAAAATAAATAAGCAGAGTGTGGTGAAAACATCCAATGGAGTATTCTTTATAATAAAAAGGAACTAACTTCTAATTACCCAAAAACATAGATAATGAACAAAAGCAGTTAGACTCATAAACACACACAAGGTATTATTCTATGTATGAATCCAGTAACAGGCAACATTAGCATACATTGATAAAAGGACAGCAATGTTTGCCTCTGAGAAGCTGCCTGGCTCCAGGTGATCAGCTTGTGGGTTTTGGGGTTGCTCTGCTCTTCCTTTTTCAAATGATATGTTGGTATTAAGCATCAGATCTTCCATTCAATCTCCACTACCTTTAGGATCCCACAGTGTAAGCAGCTGCTTTCCTGATTACTGGGAAATACCCCCTCCTACATTCCTTCATTATTATTTTAGGAGGGTTTTCAATAAAAGAGAAGACAAATGCTTCTCTTCATCTAACATCCTTAACCAGAAACATTTTTTTCCAGGAATTTGAAACAATAACGTGACATTATTATTACCTGATGTATATATGCTTATTGGGTACTTTTCTGGTTTGACAAAAATATGTTATGACTCGTCATAACATTTGGAAATATAAGATACTAATTTATAAACATTGTTATCATAGTAATAAAATGATCAACTAAGAACCAGAATTACAGACTCAAGTTTACAATTACTTTCTTTCACTGGAAACAATAGCAATTTCTGAAGTTTAGATACATAAAAAAAATTCACATATATAACAAAGCAGAGGTAGATTTATAACAACATAAAGCAGAAATCCCAGAAGAAATTATGATATTCTTGTGAAATACTAACTTTATTCTATATCATTATCAAACCACAACTTTTCAGTTATGAACTACTTTTATAACACAGGGTGATATTTCTCTTAACAGCCTCCACAAACATCTCAGAATCTTGATAACCATTTTCACATGGTATCCCTTTTCCCTAGGATGTCCACAGAAGATCAGAGCATAGACAGTTTTATCTACAATATTATATTCACGCACTTCAAAAGACATAAGGTGGAGATTTCAAGAGCAATAAAAACAGAATTTCCTTTCCTTCAGATTCTTCGTGACCGTGAACTCATCACCAATAAAATGTATGAAGTAAGTGAGGTTTATTATGTTACAATGACTTAGTAGCCATACAAATATATAGCAATTTTAAATTTTACATTGAAAGTACCTGTGCAGAGAAATTGTAACACATTTACAACAAAATCAATTTCTAGCTCTGGTCTGACTGGCTCAATGGTTAGAGTGTTTTCCTTGAGCACTGTAGGGTCACAAGTTTGATTCCTGGTCAAGGGCATGTACCTGGGTTGCAGGTTCCCAGCCCCAGTCCCAGCCCCAGAGGGATACAGTGACTGATTGCAGGAGGCAATCAGTCACTGTATCCCTCTCTCATCAATGATTTTTCTTTCTCCCTCTCCCCCTCCCTCCTTCCCTTCCCACTCTCTCTGAAAAGCAATGGGGGAGAAATATCCTCTGGTGGGGATTAGCAACAACAAAAATCACTTTCTAGGGCTCTTCTGTAACTTGGAAGTTCATATTTATATTTTCTCGGTTTATTATTTTTAGGATTGTAGAGAATCTTGTAGAAACCTGGTCCCTATTCACATAGTGGTGTACAATGTGCTCGAAAAACTGGAGAAGACATTTGACCTGGCACTCCTGGAAGCATTGTTCAGTGAGCCCAACAAAGAGGAATACCCTGACTTAAATAACATTTATAAAAGCTTTGAAAAAGGTAATTAAATTTATTGTCTACCTCTTGCTGTACAGGAATAACTTTTTTTTGACAAGTATATATTTAGCTCCTACTATGTACCATTCACAGCACTGGGCAGTAGGGATATAGCAGTTAAGAAAATAAACATATCATGAGCCTCTCAAAGTTTTTGATAAAATGGCTTCAATATAAACACCCATCTGCAGGTCTGCTTAACTAGGCATGTGGCACCATGCCTAGTATCTCTTTAGTATCTCTTTATTATCTCTTTAGTATCTCTTTAGTATCTCTTTATTATTTAGTATCTCTTAGTATCTCTTTATTGCCTACTTATAAGCTTCAAATTGCTTAGCTGTATATACTAAACTTTATAAAATCATCTTCAAACTTATTGGTCTTGAATTAGCTCCTACAGTCTGCTTCTCACTCTCTGATTGAGCCAAATCAAATTTATCCTTATTTTGAAGACATAGTAGTCCTTTTCATACTCATGTCTGATCCCATAGCATCCACCCTCTTAGGACATATGACCATTTTTTGAGCCATGTGGCACGAGACCACCAGAGCCATGTGGCACGAGACAACCAGAGCCATGTGGCACGAGACCTACATAGAAAGACAAATGACATGAAACTCAGCATCCCACCACTAGTGACAGCTTAGTTGTGGGATCCACTGTGATTTGGCCATATCATACCATGGTAGTCAACATCTCATGTAACAACTCTGATGTTGTTACATTCAGGGACCCCACAAAGAAAAGCTGAGTTATAAGAGTCACTACATTGAAGGAAGATCATAAATGGCTTATAGTTCACATATAGTCCTTCCTAGTATACATACAATTTATCTACCTACAATCACATGTCATTTTTTATCATAAGCTCAGTCTTAGCCTAGTGACACAGAAGAGAGGCCACCTTCATCAGGTGTCCAGAGTGATAAGCAAGAAATTTAACCCAAAGTCAAATTTGCTTTTAAAGAACAAGAAATTGTTTTATTAACTTTCTTCACAATGGGTGAAACACACATTAGTCATAGAATCACAAAACCTATTGCTCTCCCAGAGACTACTTTTGATTCTATATAACACTACTGGTATAATTCTCAAGGAGGTATGATTTTCTAAGAAGACATAATTTATACTTTTTAATGGTACCAATTAAGAGAATTATCTACTATCTCTAGATGATAGATAAATAGATAGATGATTGATAGAAGATGATAGATAGATAGATAGATAGATAGATAGATAGATAGATAGATAGATAATAGATAATTTACTTGCCTAAGTGAACTTTTCATACCAATGGAGGCTCAATGGAGTTCTCCAGATAAGAGATAGAGATATTACAAGAAAAAATGGTCATATGTCCTAAGAGGGTGGATGCTATGGGATCAGACATGAGTATGAAAAGGACTACTATGTCTTCAAAATAAGGATAAATTTGATTTGGCTCAATCAGAGAGTGAGAAGCAGACTGTAGGAGCTAATTCAAGACCAATAAGTTTGAAGATGATTTTATAAAGTTTAGTATATACAGCTAAGCAATTTGAAGCTTATAAGTAGGCAATAAAGAGATACTAAGAGGTTTGTAAACAAGGCAATAGTTTAAAGTAGGTATGAAGCATGTGGCTTATTGAATTGTATTAATAGAAGTCTTATGCAATGAAGAACAAAGTCATTTTTACAATGAGTCATTTAGTCAAAAAAGAGATAAAGGATGTCAAATACCTAGTCACAAATTTCAAGTCAATATTATATTTGTAACCATGATGTCCCAAACATGGGTAAGACAGGAATGGCAGATACCTTTACTACCTACATCTTAGGGTCTCAGATCCTCTCCATGGAGTTCAGGAACTTCCCTCCCCAGGGCTTAGCACCCAAATCACATGTCTCGGTTTCTAAGGCTCCCCATTTTGGGGTGACCCACATGTATACCAGCAGCTGCCCACCTGCCTCTGAGGAAGGCTGCAGCTTCCACCTCCCATATTCTGCTGCCCATGTAGCTACAGGTCAACAACCCAAAATTCAAGAAGCTAAAGGTTGTGGTTTAGAGTGTGACACTCTCCTGCTGCCTGGACTCCGCCTTCATCCATCCAAAGACCCCCTCAAACCCTCATCAGAACACCTGCCCATAGGTTACCTTCACCATTTCTGGGCTTTAAGCCCTATGTTCTCTTCCTATCTTCCATCTGATTTTTCCTGGATTTATAGCCATATCCTGGAATGACAAAACATCTATGGTTCCCACAGTCTTGTTCATCTACCAACCAACAGGTATGGGGAGCTCCCATTATTGGCTTAAGGTAGCCTTCATTTTCTTCCACAGTGCTTTGTCCCTCCCTGGACTCCTCATAGACACTCAGATCCAGACTTCTTGGTTTATGTATTTCCTCCTTAAATTTACTTGTCATCTACCTGTGTTTCCCTGAAAATAAGGCATCCTCCGAAAATAAGACCTAGCGCATGGAAAGATAAGACATCCCCTGAAAATAAGACCTAGCGCAACTTTGGGGGGGGAAATTAATATTATATAAGACACTGTCTTATTTTCGGGGAAATAGAGTACATGCAGGGGCCCTAGGTTAATACTCTAGTCCCTCCTCACTACAGCCTCCTGTCCCTGGTCCAGAAATCTAGAGGCATCCTCCAGTGCTGAAATTTTTATTCCCTGCTTGCAGTTTCAGTGTCCTTCCTTTATTTCTAAAATCAATTCCCCAGAAGATCTGTCTAATTCCACCAGTGTCCTCTGGTCCATCTCTTTGAAGAAACTCATCCTCCCTCATCCAATTAAGTCCAACCTTTCTCTTCTCCAAGCCCATCTTTAAAGCTGTTAGGCTTTATTTCATCACAAGGCTCTCTCTAGGATCCTAGTCCTCCTACTGAGAAACCCCTCTGTTTCTTCATTTCACTTGGAACAGTTCAGAAAACATGCTTAACTTCCAGTATTTATTTTGATATTTTTCCCCAAGCATATGTTTTGTTTTGTTTTTTACTATATTTTCACAATTCCTTTATTCTGACATTTGAGTGGCTACTTTCTGTATTCGAAATATAGTTGCTTGTTGGGGGTTCTTTTTCTCTGTCCCAGCAATGATGTAGAACTTTACCATGAGGATTGAAACCCATTGAGCTCTGAGTGACCCAAGGGTTAGAAATTCTTAAACACATAAATTTGGGATGATATCCCTGGTCTCTGATGAAAATCTCTAAGTGTCTTTTCTCTCCACCTTCTCAGTGATCCATGAGAACATTTGTTTCCATGAAAATGATGGAGAAGAGAGTGTGGAGGACCCTAACACCCAACTAAGTCTTGAACAAGGTGATTGCAAACATAACAGCTGATTCTCATCTGAAGTGGAAAGGAGAATGGGATATGGGCCCTGAGTCCTGGTGGAATTTAAGAATCAGAGAAGAACTGTTGAGGATCATGGAGAAGGCATGGAGCACTGTTTATATGAGCATCTTACCAGATACTGATCCTGTAGAAGGAGCTATGACAAGATACTGTTGGCTCAATAAACAAGACAAATTAACAGGAACGAAATGAGTCAGGAAACCAGATTTAAAGACAATGCTAACATGGAAGTAATTGTGATTTAGAGAGAACCTGTAGGAGATCAGTGTGAAACTATATAAAGTTAGGAACTATGGACCCCAGGTCAACATCACAGAGGAGATACTTGATAATGACAGATGAAGATGCTGATTAAAATGTGGAGGATGCTGTTCAAGAGCAAGAATATTCAAGGAGATGGGCAGTAATAGAAAGAAGAGAGGAACTGTGCATATTTTGAGAGAAGAAGAAGGAGGGAAAATGAAAGACAGAAGAAGTAAAAGACACAACGAAACAACCATATTACACTGACAGTTGTGGACTTAGTGCTCACAGCTGCTATTAGAAGTTAATATTATGTTTGTATTCTTTCTGCAATTAGGAGACTAAATCTATGTGTAGTTGACTGGTTGTATGTGTAGTTGGACTGGCGTTAAATGAGCAAGATGAACCCAGGCATTCTGAACCCAGAGCCTGTGTTCTTAACTCTGCATACACCCAGATAATCTCATGGAAAAACCAGAAGCATGAAACAAAAATAGGGAAATATATGCAGAGAGAAACACAGTAAGAAGAATACTAGAAGCTGGAAGGAGTACAGGAGAATCAGACACTGAACCTCATGAAAAGGCCAACAAGAGAGAAACAGACATGAGGGAGTGAGGGTATGGTGTGAAGAGGGTGCAATGAGGCACTAGGACTTTGTAGGAACTACAGCAAGACCACCGTCAGGGGCAGCTGTGGAAACAAAAACAGGTTCACTATGGCCATGGCTGACATGAAAAGCCATTGCCAGTCACCTAAAGTGCTCATGGAAAATACTTAGTGAGATGGACTGGCCAAGGCGCTTTCAGTCCAAAGGGGGACTTGGGTCTGATTATAAGAGTGGGGTGGGATCCTCCAGGTCCAGATGGGTTCTGTATTGATACCTGAGGGAGGGCATCCTCAATTCCTACTTTATAACGATTAAATGGGGAATGAGGGGAGAATGGCATTTCTGAAATAAACTTCCCATTTTTCCCCTACAGGCACTGGTGAAAACTCATATCAAAACCTGACCTGGATCTGCTCACATCTCTCGAATTACAATGGTCTGTTCCTGTTGACTGTTCTGTGACCCTTTGCAGCTCTTGTCCCATCTGGCAGGTGCTATGGTGGGAGGGCTGCTTCTTTTTAGTGCTGATCACCCAGAATTTTCCATCTTTGCTTCTACAATTTCTCCAAGGATTTAAATAACAGAGTTTTCATTTTCCTAGTTGCCTGGGAAAGTTGCTCCTTCCACATTCTTTAAATGCACTTACTGCCAGCTCCTGACAACCTAGGCGTGGACCTATTGCCCATGCACCAGGCTTCACAGTTTTCTGCTTCTGTCTTGCTTGAATCTGGCTGCAGGATTGCTTTGACGTCATATCCAGCAGTGGCCAGCACTGTAGCAAGGGTGGTAAGGTAGGGGTGATAAGTGTGTTCCTCCTTGGGCCAGGGTCTCTCACCTGTTGGGTCCCTCACACAGGACCATGGATACCATGTGCCTCCAGAGCAAACCCTCTCTCATCATCTCTGGGGCAGCAGGCCTGGAGCTGCCCTCCAAACACCTGACCAGCCTCTTAAAAAGTACTTTGGTAATTTAGCAATCAATAGCCACTGACCAGCCTCTAAAAGAGTATTTTGGTAATTTAGCAATCAATAGCCACTGTTTACAACTCTTGACCTTCCATAGCCTCTCTTTCTCTCTCTCTCTCTCTCTCTCTCTCTCTCTCTCTCTCTCTCTCTCTCTTTCTCTTTCTCTTTCTCTTTCCTTTTTTTCCCTCTAAAATCAATGAACATATCCTCAGGTGAGGATTATAAAAATACAGTGATGATACATCAACCACACTTTTCAGAGAATAAAGAATGAGCTGAGACTTTGGCTCTTTGTGCAAGTTCAGCCACTGAGACTTAGGGATTGACCTCTGCCTTAGGGCGGTGTCATAACAGAAAGTCTGGTGACCCATGGCTGACTTCAAAGTCTTCCCTGTGAATTTGGGAAGTGGTTTTCTCTCTTTGTCCCTCAGTTGCATCATTTATAAAATGGAGGTGATAGCCCTAGCCAGTTTGGCTCAGTGGATAGAGTGTTGGCCTGTGGACTGAAGGGTCCCAGATTTAATTCTGGCCAAAGCACATACCCGGTTGCAGGCTCAATCCCCAGTAGGGAGCATGCAGAAGGCAGCTAATCAATGATTCTCTAAATTAATAATAATAATAATAATAATAATAAAATAAATAAAATGGAGGTGATAATGGTACCTACTTCACAGGGTGATAGATTTTAAACAAGTTATGTCATATAAAGTATTCACAATCATGCCTGGTACTCAGTGTTCCATGCATGTATTAATATCACTATGCTTAATGATCATTATTATTTGTATCTAGTGCCAGAGTCTAACCTTTTAACTACTACAGTAAACTAGGATATTTGGAAAAGCAATGATAACAGTAATACCAATCTCAGGCCCAGGAAAATAAATTGAGTGCCTCAGGTTCTGTACCCTAGAACACACTAGTCTATAAGAAGTATCAAGTGTTTGTAGCATGACTCTCCTTTGGAAATGAGTGACAGGGAAGAGAACCAGGAAAATTCAGTATGGAAGGCATTGCAGGGTAGCTTTCTATCAGAAGTATTATTTAAGAAAGGATATTCAAATTAGCAATACATTTTTATAAAAGAAAAACTTCTCAGGGTTATATTTGAAAGCATAGTTATACTTTTAGCAAATCATATTTACTCAAAAAGTTTAATTTTAAAATATCCTTTAAAGTATATGAATCCATATTAGCCATTGGCCAATGATCCTGCTAGTGGGAATAGGAAAGGTGAAAGGAAAGAATTGTGAAGAGTAATGAGCAGGGATTCTGTGTATGTAGGAGTGTGCACGTGTGTGTGTGTGTGTGTGTGTGTGTGTGTGTGTGTGTGTGTGTGTGTAGGATTGGCGGGGGGGAGGATGATTCCCAACGTGGTCTGAGAGCAAGCCTGCTAAGAAGTAAAATCCCAGAGCATCTTAATGATTGGGAACAATGTATTCTAGTATAAAGAGAGGAATTTCAAAGATAAATTCTAAAGTTTTTTAAATTTTTAAATAAAAATAAAGAGAGGGATTTCAATCTACAACCCAAATGATGCACAATAAGCAGGGATGGTTGACTGTGACATGCACAGGTGAGGAAAGGGCTGTGTCTCATGCTTATCACCCCAGGAGGAGGCTCTAAGTAACTGTAGGTGTGACATTAAAATGCATCAGTGTTCACATTCTGTATTAAAATTAGGGGAATTATTTTTAAATCATCCTTTACATAAATTATTTTGTTTATAAAGTAGCACTAAATGAAAAAATCCAAACTGCACTGAAAAAAAATATTTACCAATTCTACAACTATTGAGGTTGGGAGGAACAGAGTGGAATTAGTCAATAGAACCAATAATGAACCAAGGAGGCTCACCACAGGGAAGAGGGTGCACTGGTCCTGGTGGTTTAGTCAGGGATTCATTCCTAATGGGCTTCTGCTCTGCTCTGTCCTCTATTTCTTTCTTTCTTTTTTTCTATCCTCTATTTCTCGCCACAGATTCCTGCAGCCTTGCTTGATAGGTCTTTTGTTACATTTTACTGCTGGATTCCTAAACTGGGAGACACCAGCAAGAGTGGAGAGTGGAAGAAAGAGAGAAGCATGGTATTTCCCCATCACTGTCTTGGGCAATTCTCTCAATAGTTGCATCTCCCATGACTCTACCTCCCACCAACCAGGCCAGCCATGGTCCAGCTTCTACTTACCCAGTGACTGGACACATGAGTTCACCCTTGGTCCCTCCCACAGCTTCCTGTTGACTCTTCTTCAACTTGGAATTGTCAGCTCTTCCACCAGCCCCCTGGATTAAATTCCCTCTGCTCCAAAGGCTTAGAGAGTTTTATATTTTCCTGTTGGACCCTGATTGATGCTTGAAGCAAATAAAATATCTGTTAATCAAAACGTGGTCTAGGTACATCTCCACATGAAAATGGACTGTCAGAGCACAGTTGTGAAAGAGAACAGATAAATGCCAATGAAACAGTTACAACCAGTAACAACAATGATGCACGAGAAAGCCAACAAGAGAATGAACAATGTGCACAAGAGGCTGAGCCAGCAGGTAAGCCTGAATAGCTGGGTTTGATGAATGTGGAGAGGTCAAGGGGCATTTGCTGGTGGCAGAGAATGAAGAAAGGTACAACTCAAGGAGACACTTATTAACAAAAAGAGGAAAATCACACAGACACGCAGAGTGCAGAAATGGATTCTGATATATTGATAGGAGAGACCTGGAGAAAAAGAGAAATACTAAAATAAGAGACAGGGAAAAGAGCTGCAGAGCTTTCCGGGGGAAGATAGACAGAAACAAAAGTCAAAATAAGTCAGGGAGAGATTTACAGTGGAATCAATGAAACACAAACACTTTCACTGAATGAAAGTGGCAATATATGCAGTCAGGCTCTAAGTAGGAACAGGAGAAGAAAAGAGAAGCCAGTGAGGTGCAACAAAATGGTAATTGGCAGAGTAAGGCTCTGTGGGAGCTCAGTTGTTGTCTTTTTTTTTTTTATTTCAGAGGCCTGTGAGCAAGTACCCATCCAAGGAAATAATGGAAATGCAAGACTAGAGATACCCAGCCCATTGCCCTCTGATGAAGAAAGTAATTATCACCTTCCTTACCAATGATCTAAGTATATCTTTGTTTTTCTATGAGAGCAAACGCTTTCCTTTGTTCTCCCATAGTAGCCATCTCCCCACCCATCTATTATAAACACCACACAAGACACACAGCATTGTGCACAGCCTCCAGCTGTTTTTAAGGCCAGGGAGAAAGAGAACTCAGCTCTTTGATAAAGTATTGTTCCTGGAGGAAAATGCAAAGAGAGAAACTATGGAGAAGGTGGACTGGGAACATCAAAAGGCAATGTATAAAAATGAGATAGAGTTCACATAAATTGACATGGAATCCAACCAGTGCCATGTTGTGGAGTTGGTGTAAAAGAAATAAGCTGCACTTCACTTTTTTAAAATTTCTTTATTGATTTTGGTGTTACATATGTGTCCTTTTTCCCCTATTACCCCCCATACCCTTCCTCCTCATGCCCTCACCCCCCTGTGTCTGCACTTCACTGTTAGAATTTTAACAAAAACATGGAAGTCATGGGAAATGCTGCTGGTCAGATATTCAACTAAGGAAGCCCAGGTGAAGGACCTTTAGAATGAAATGGCAGGTGGGGGAATTTTATGCAGTGCACAAAATCACAGGGGACAACTTTGGTGATGATTTGAATGCTTGAGATGAGGGAATACATGGAAAGACAAAATTGATACAGAAGAGGCATACATAGATCCCATTGCCAATTAAAAAAATGGGAATAGAATGAAAGAAAGCAGGAACCAAACAGAGATCGTAGGAACTAAAAAATCAGCTAGAGCAGTGGTCGGCAAACTCCTTAGTCAACAGAGTTTGATTGAAATATCAACAGTACAATGATTGAAATTTCCTTTGAGAGCCAAATTTTTAAACTTAAACTAGATAGGTAGGTACATTATTATTAACTTAATTAGGGTACTCCTAAGCTGGCCTTTGCTAAAAACTCAAGGGACCAAAGAGCCGCATGTGGCTCACTAGCCACAGTTTGCCAGCCACTAAGCTAGAGGATAGCAGGTCTAGAATGAGGCAAGAGAAATCTGAGATGATAAGGAGGATCTCGCTCAGTACTTTCTTGTGTTTTGAGCACCTCATTTGCATCACCCTAGACCCTGGTGGGCCCTGAGAGAAAGACATAAAAATGTGAAGGAAAAGAATATGAAGAAAAAAAAACACAGAGGAAATGCCAGTACATAGAAAAACTGAGGGAGACACAAAAGAAACTATGTAAAGAATGAGTAAAGAACAATGAATAAAAAACTGATAAAGAGATGACCAAATGAAGAGAGAGAACAGACAAATCAAGATATTGTTTTATTTGATAGACAATCACAGGTAAAAAGACGCCAGGGGCTGTTCATAATACCATTGAGAAGTTAAGGTGTTCACAATTATCCAAAGGGCCCTGGAACATTCTCAGATAAAAATAGGCCTTCTATCGCTTCTTGACCTTTTGACTAAGATCAGGTGTAGTATCTATTTTTATCAGTTTAGTATCTAATACATCGTCTCTCTGAGGACAGTGTTTTGTAGGGTTGCATAAATTTAATTTAAAAAGATAATTTTTTTAAATGGCCTCTTTCCATATATCTCATTCTTTCCATGGCTTCAGTCACCATTTATGATCTATTGATTTCCAAACACACATTGCCAGCCCAGACCTGACCTATGCTCATCTGATCAAGTGCCTGAAGCTCTTGATGGGAAAATCTAATGAACATCTCTACTGGAGGCTGTATCAGTTATCTACTGCTGAGTGACAAACAGATCCAAAACATAGTGGATTAAAACAACCATGATTTTATTTGCCACTTCTGTCAATTACAATTTTTAAAAATCTCCTCCAACCTTTCCATTTTTCCATACCCAGCTCAATACTCTAATCCAGACCCCCTACAATACTCTAATCCAGACCCCCTTCATTTCTCACTTCAGTAGGAGAATAGTCTCCTGCTAGGATCCTTTTTCCTATCTTGCTCTCTTCAGATCCATTCTTCACACTTCAGCTCAATGGATCTTTCAAAAATTCAAACAAGGTCTTACGGCTCTACTGTTTAAAACCCAATACCATCTTGTGACCCTCAGATTTAGGTCAATACTGCAAGCTGTGATTAAAGAACACCTGCCACAGCTTCATATTTTCCCTTCTTTCATGCCACCTTCACATTGAAAAAAAATTCCTTTTAGTTATTTGAATTTGCCAAGCTCTCTCAACTAAATCTCTGCCTTTACACATGCTTTTGGAAAACAGTTTAGCATAATCTTTTAATGGATTTCTTTTTAATGGATAATTTATATTATGGAATACTAGACAGCAGTGAAAATAAATATGCAAAGTAAATGCAAATGACTTTAACACACATAATGTTGAAAAAATAAGTCAAATCCCCATAACTAAATGGCAGAGAGGCAGAGACATAGAGAAGACATGGTTACATTTATACGAATTTATATAAAATATAGAACTGACAAACTTAATTATCCATAATATTGAAAGTCAAAGCAATAGTTAACTTGAGCAAGATGGTAGGAACTGCCCTCCCCTGCTGATCATCTTGTGCTGACCACCTTGGGTTCACATGGGGGCAGCCATCTTGTGTGTTGCAGTGATGGTCAATCTGCTTATTATTCTTTTATTAGATAGGATAGAGGCCTGGTGCATGGGTGGGGGCCAGTGGGTTTGCCCTGAAGGGTGTCCTGGATCAGGATGGGGGTTACCTTGGAGCAGCCTACATGAGGGGCCTGTGGTGGTTTTAAGACCAGCCACACTCCCCCCTCCCACCCCCCACAACCCAAGCAGAGGCCCTGGTATCTGGGATTTATTTATCTTCTATAATTGAAACTTTCTAGCCTTGAGTTGAGGCTGCGCTGGCCAGGGTGTGCAGAAAGCTTAGCTTCCTTTGTTGCTGGGGGAAACTCAAGCCTCCTGTTCACTCTGTGGCCACAGCAATCTTGGTTGGGTTAATTTTCATACTTGCTCCTGATTGCTGGTGGGTGTGGCTTGTTGGTGTAGTGGGGTGATGGTTAATTTGCATATTACTCTTATTAAGATTTTTGGAAAAGAAAAAAAAAACATCATCATCAAATAATGGAAAGAGTCAGTAAAAACAAAAAACAATGATAGTTTAGAGATGTATAAAGGAAAAAAACAGAGTTAAGCAGCTGAAAGGAGAGGGGTGGGAATAACTTTTCCTAGAGTGGGATTACAGGGAGAAGGGATCATTGATTGTAGTAAGGTTGCTCACTCCCTTTGTGGGAGACAAATAAAATTCTTCATTTATTATAATTTTGTTCAGGACCAGAACTACCCAACCATGGAATCCAAATAAATTCCTGTTCTGTACGTCTGGTGGATATAAAGAAGGAAAAGCCATTTTTTAATCCAAATGTTGGAAAAAAAAAACAAAAATCTGACATAATAGGTAAGACTGAATGAAAGAATGTCTGATATGAATCTCAGATACTGTGTAAGGGTTTGGGACATGTCACGAGGTTCCACCAAGGAGATTCAGGTGACCTTGGGCAGAGGCAGGAGAAGAGGGAACCAGCACCTTACCAGTGATTTTAGCAGAAGAGTGTTCCTAGAAATTGGCGGGGGGGCGGGGGGGGGGGAGGATACCAAAAGACTGAAGTTGCAGATACAAGAATTAATGTTTGAGAAACTATTTCTAAAATAAAGGAGAAATGGATGGTGATAGGAGATGAAGAAACAAGAAAACAAAAGACTTTTAAAAAGGAAAAAAAAATAATAATCAGAACCAAGATACTTCTGAGAGGAAATGAGAAAGAAGTGAATGAAGAAAAAAAAGAGGTATAAAGTGATAGCATCCCCAGAAAGACAGACATAATTAAGAGAAATGGGCTGAGCCAAGAGGAAAGTGAAATAAAATGAGAATGAAAGAAGAGGTGGAATGAGGGTTGGGATTGGAGGTAGATTGAGGATGGAGGTAGGAGATAGAATAAGGATGGGGTGAAGAAGTGCTGAGGATGGGCAAAGCTGCTCTCTGTGCATGAATTTCACCACCTTCTGGGTAGGACTTGGAGCAACCTGCAGCTTGCACATTTGGGTACAGAGACGTGAGTTAACTTAGCTTCTTGTTATGGGGTTTTCTGTCCATGGGCTCCTTGGCCCCACCCTGAGACACCAAGGGGTTTTTCTTCTTCTGTGCAGTGATCAGCAGTGATGAAGATGAAGATGAGTCCCCCAAAGCCTCCACCTCGGAACAAAGAAGGGGGCCTGGTAAGGAGTTGGGAGCTCAAGGATGGGGCACAGGAACCTCAATTAAGAGTTACTGTTTTCTGAGGCATCGGTTCTGAGTTTATTCTGTACCATGGATCCAGTTTATCCTGCCATCCCATTCTCTGCATTCATTTCACCTTGACCTTTTTTGGGAAATGCGGGAAGATGAAAAATAATTATTAAGTAAACATATATGTATTTTTGAGGATGACGTCTATTAATGGGTCCTAATAGTCAACATATGTACTTTATATTGGTTGTACAGTAGAAATAAGCTAGCACTAACTAGTTGTTATGACTATAAACTGTTGGATTTCTACAGTAATTTCTATAGAGAAGAGAAACTTCATATTTCTTAATTGGACAGTCATGTTGTCATCTGATTTCAAACTTTGAATCATGTCTGAAGGCAATTCATCCAGCCCTCTAGTGTTAGCAAAAATAAACACTTCAAGTAAAGTATTCTGAAACACAGTGTTGTTTTTTAGAGTTTTTCAGCAAGTCATGATATATAGAGTGATTTTTCAAAGGACCTTTGCAAATAGTGTCTTAGTTTTTCCTTTCAACAGCCTTGAGGATTAGACAGGAAGGACACTATTATCCTTGTTACTGGATGAGAAAATACAATCACATAAACCTTTCAGGGTCATCTACAAAGCCTCATGAAAATTAAGGGAAAGACAAGGCTACTGGATTCTGTGTTATTTCCTTTGTAAATTAGAGCTTGAAATAGTTAACAAAATGTTGTTTCGTCAATCCCATGAGCAGCACAAATGGTCACAAACTACAGCTCTTTAGTGCACAGGCTAGTTACTGGTTTTCTCTTCCTACTTTCTCAGAGGATATTTAGCAAAACATACTAGAAAAAGATCTAAGGACAAATAAAAATGTTACCTGGTCTGGATGTTACAAAAGATTAGTATTTCAAATAGTATGTTCTTCCACTGATCACTAGATCTATCAAAGTAAAATGTAAATGTACCTCAATTTTCAGGGAGTATGTGTTCTAACTTACGTGTTATATAAGCAAACTGCTCTAAAAGACCATTTCAACATAGGTCTATGTCTCAGATATTATTTCTCAGCCTTGTAAACAGTTCAAGTTGCATCTGGATGTGCGGAGGCTCTCTGCCTTTAGCACAAGATTTCCAAGCTCTCCCCACAAAGAAACAACAAATAAAGGAAGTGTGAAATGACAAGAGAAGGGGTAAGAAGCAGGAGAGAGGTGTAAGAAAGTAAGGTTCAAACAGAGCAGAGGGACTCTTTGCTAGTGACTTGTCTCTGTTCTGGGGACAATGAATGGAGCATCACTAACCTACAAGGTGGGTAACTTAGAGGGACAGACCAGGTGAGCCTGTGTGTGGGTGACTTAAAGGGACAGAACAGGTAAGCCTGTGTATAGGCCATGGTATACCTGGGTTTTCAAGATTTTTCAAGTTGTATTAGCGAATTTCCTGCTGAATTGGTTTCTTGGTTATATAGTGAGACATCTAAAGAATCCTATTCTTTTTTGCACTGATCAATTACCTTGATTCCTTAGAATCAAATGAGGAAGGAGAGATCCAAGAAGCCACCTGCTCAGCACCTGAAGTTGCACCACGTAAGAATATTTGGATAGCATTCCTGGATGAAAAATATCCAGAGTCTAAATCCAGAACTCTATTTCCTAATAAATCTTATTCTGACATTCTCTGTATGCATTGATTCTATTACTTCTAGGGCCTAATTTCTGCTTTTAACTTCTTTGACCCTTTGGAATATGAAAGAGGGCAAAAAGGCATTATAAACTGTTGTTTAACTGGATGATCCCAATCAATTGATCTATTAAAAAGGTAGAAATAATACACTAGCAAATGACTATCTTTTTTACTACACATTATCATATCTATTAATGCTGAAAAATTAAAATAATATATATAATCTTTACCAAAATGCTTTATATTCTACAGAGCATAGTAAGCACAGCATTTCTGAATTTGTTGACAGTATTGTCATTAGTCCTCAACTTAAAAAGTCTTCAAAGAATAATTTGTGCTGCTCTTTAATTATTGACATAAAAATAGCTTCAGCCCAACTACTCTCAAACCCAAATGATAGTTTAGTGGTAGGCTTACAAAGATTTGCTTTGTTTTCACAAATATCTGAACTGGGAGATAGAGTAACTAAGTTATCCCCACATTATAAATGAACACTGGAGATAGAAAGTTTAAGGGTCGGGTATAAATTCACAGGGAGTGTAAAAAGGAGAGCCAGGCAGGAGCCCAGCATTATGACCATGGGCACCAGAACTTTATTCAGTTGAAGAAAAGAGGAAAATGATCATCTCCACATCAATACTATCATAACCCCTATCTGCTATGTGACTTGTCATAGAATTTGTAAGACTTTGTTGTACAAATAGCTGTTTCTTCCCTCTTACTTTACAGTGCCCCTGGATTTGAGAAAATCACCTACATGCAGGAAAAGACTTTGGAAAACTGGTAAGAATAAATAAGAATTCTTCGTAGTTATAAAATGAACAATACAAAATATTCATTCTAACTCTTTTTATGTCCTTCAAAGTAAAATATAAATTTGCTTTAATTTTAGCTGGTTTGGATTTTAACTTTTGTATAAGTTAGGCTAATGGCTATAAACACAAAGATTCAAAGACTCAAACACAATAGAATTTGAATTTTTTCTCAAGTAAACATTCCTAGAAGGATTTGATGGTATACAGGTGGGGCTCTATTTCACAGTCATTCTGGGAAGTAGCCATGGGGAGTTCTGCCTTCTTCAATACCAGATTTCCAAGACAGCCCTGGGAGAAGAGCAGAGCTAAAAAAATGAATGTGAATACAGATAAAAAAAAACAACAACAAATCTATAAAGAGACAAGTAAAGGGAGAAAGCAAATCCAGTATAAGAAAACAGAGGGTCAAGAGAAAGCAGAGATGCCCACTGGGTAAAATAGCTCAGTCCCAGGCTCAGGAGAGGGGAGGGATAAAATACTGACCTACAGGTCACATGAATGCAAAAGGCAGGTCATGGAGGTCTCAGGGAGGGTCATTCTAGCCTTGGGTTTACAGAGCTTTTCAGGTTCTCCTCTCTAGGTTCCTTTTCATACTCTGACATCTTCAAAGGGACATTTGTTCCTTCTGCAGGGAGAAATCATGAAGAGGCTTCTGAATCGAGTGCAGATGAGACGCCCCCGGCAATCAGGAGTTGTACAGCGAGGAGTGGTCCTGATGACGAGGGTGAGGCCTGCCATTGCTGGGCTCAGGGACATCAGGAGTCTGAGCTCAGGGTTCCCATTTCTCTGAACACACACCATGGCCCAGGGAGCCCACTCCTGCCTTGGTCTCATGTGGCCACTTTAAAAACTGCAAAGAAAAGAAACATTGTAATTCTGGCTTAACCAAAAAGAATGGCTCTTGTTGGATGGCAGTTTATCTTACTCCATGTTCTCAGACATGTCACCCCCAAGTGTGGTGGATCACATTGTGATGTTCCCATACTCACCAGCTATTCTGCACAGAGCAGAGAAAGTGGGACAGTCCGCTACTGTTCAGTTGTGTCATAAACTTGTTCAAACCTCAGTGGACTCTGGCCACACTCTCTATTGACAGATGAAACAGCTTCTGGTTATTACCAACAAATCCCATTTATAACGTTTGTCAGATCACCCCCAATATTAGCCTACAGAGTGATATTTTTTGAAATAGCTTCACAATTACGGGAAATCACAAATGTGATAAATAGTTTACACAGACTCATGGCAGCTAAATCCAGATTCACTGCCAGATGAAAAAATGCTGGGTTTTTTTAACACTGATTTTGCACATGGGCTAAAGGATGTGGGTCTTTTCTCCATTTGGTATTGCTCTCTTTCCTTTAGATTGAAAGAAACAGAAATAAAATCATCCCGTCTTTATGTTCCAAAGCCTTCTACAATGTGAGGAGTCATAAGATTTAACTATTTCCATCATGGAGCACTAGTTGTGTTTCCCCTTACCTCCTAGATTCTCCAGATACTGGGAACCAATCTACTTGGAAGATGAGCAACAAGAGAAGACGTAAGAACAATCAAAGCTCTTGATGTAACAAATTCTTTCTTTGCTACAAAAGCTTAGGCCAATTTTTTGTTATATTCTTTTCATTTAAAAAAGCTATGAGGATGTTAGTTGATATAATGATACATTTTGCATTGGGTGGACTGAGCTAATTGGTATAAAATTTCAATGGCATTATGAGCAAATGCAAATTTATATTCTTCACTCAAATAAGGAACAAAGTAGTTTTATCGTGGAGGGATACTCTGCTCCACACGAACGTTGAGGACCTAGCTGATGGAGGCTCTAACTTCTAGAAAATGTTGCTTCCATGGTTCCCCTGGATAAAACAGAGTAGAAACAAATGTACAGATAAGTGAAAGGTTAAGAAATGTAAGAAATGATGACAAAAGAAAGTGCCTTCCATGGCAAAGTTGTCTGACCTTGGGGACAGTTCCTGGAGAACCTTGACCAACAGGTCAGATGGAGCCACAGGGTGGCCTGGCAGTAGGAATGTTCCCACCCCTCTCACACAGCTTTCTTTTTCCAATTTTTCCTTTGAAGATTCCATGCTGTGTTGGTTTCTAGGACGCAGACTGAGCCTGTTACGAAATTTTTTTTTCTGCAGGGTTCAGCAGTGGTGACTCTTCAGAATTGAGTAACGGAGAAGAGCCTCGGGAAACTTCTAGTTCAGCCCTCAGAAATGGGTCAGGTAACGAAGATTAAGATGCCAAGCCTTGGCCTGCGAATGTCAGGAATCTGAACTTAAAGCTACTGTTTCCAGATGCATTTTGCTCTGAGCGTCTTGAAGAACTCATACCCGATTAATCCTGGCAACTCCTTTCAGCACTTTAGAAAATAGGAGGAGGCAGGAAATTATTACAAACTCATGTTTAACAGAATGAGCCCTATTGAATAAATGTATATAATTATACATTGCTGTTTTAGAAGAAATAAATAGCAAAATGGTAACATCTTTTTAAATACCTGCTGTGATGCCCACCAATACTAAGATCTTAGATTTACATTGGTTCACATTAATGTCATTTGTAGCGGTAAAAGAGAACTGGCCCTACTATGTAATAATAGACAGCAATAAAAAGCTTCAGATCAATCACACTCAAACTTTAGAATAGTTTTTAAAGATTTCCATCACATTGTAATTGGATTATGTCCTGTTATTTTAAAGTAGTTTGGCAAATGAGATTTTACTTTGTCATCACAAAATCTGTAAGACTTAGGCAGGCTAATTATTCTGTTGTTGTTAATTTTCACCTGAGGGTGCTTTTCCATTGGTTTTGAGAGAGAGAAGAGGAGGAGACAGAGAGAAAGAAACATTGGTGTAAGAGAGACACATGGATTGGTTGCCTCCCACGCCAAGGTACCAGAATCAAACCAGAGCCCTTCAGTCTGTGAGCTGATGCTCTATCCACTAAGCCAAACTAGCTAGGGCTAAGAAGGTTAATTCTTTCTATCCCCATTTTGGGATAAGGAAATTGATGTACAAACTTATAAGGGTCAAAAAGGATGAGTGTTGTAAAGGATGAGGCAGGAAAATAAGGGCTATTTCAATGATCGAAGTCCAAAGAGGAGGTACAAGGGACCTGGCATATTCACAAGGGAATGTATCAGTGCCTGATACAAGAAAATTTATTTAGCAAACAACTATATATATTTCACCACCTATATTGGTGTGGATATTAATATATTAATATCTTGATGGAGACAGAAATATGAAAATCATAAAAAATCAGAAAGGTAGAAATAGAGCCAGCTCTATGATATACAAAACATTTAGAATAATAAAACTAAAAAAAATGGACAGAGAAATAAAAATAAACAGATTAACAGTATCATTGATTTAAAAAGAGAAATCAAGGACAGAGAAACTCACAAAATCAACAGGATGGAGACAGAAAGTGTAAGGCAGAGCAACGAGCAAAAAAACTGAGAAGTAATAAGAAAATGAGGTGTAGATAGATTAAAAAAAAAACAAAACAGGTATCTGTTGTATGTGAGGTGTATTCATTGGAGTAGGCATACTTTTCCCTAGCTCATCTGAGCTGTGAACATAATTCATCATAACCACATTGAAGTGTGTTCCTGGTCATCATGTACTGTGTGTCCAGTGTCCTGTCTTCAAATGAATAGAGGAAGAGAGTCAGAAGATATGCCAGCCTGATAGACTGTGGTGGAGCCAATTGTGATACTACTTATCAGTTCTCTTTGTTTTCCTGTCTGCACAGAGGAAAAGCTCTTCCTTCTTTCCCCTAAAACATTGCCTCACATGTGCACACAAATGAACACACACTCATATACAGACAGAATGGAGCACAAATTAAGACTACATCCTCCACTTTGAGAGAACCAAAGAGAAAGAGAAGCAGGGCTCCTGAATGGAGGGAGGGGACAATGAGTAGATAATGTGAGGAGAATGGAAAAGGTAGGCTGAGGTCATAAAATAAAAAGGTATATGAGTAATTTTCAAGGTTTTCTAATTGGACATGGGATCCAAATATCACCAGATGCAGGTTTTGTGGGGTGGAGTAGGATAGCTTTCAAGATATGCCTCAAAGTTTACCACAAATCTATAATAATAAAAGTGTAATATGCTAATTAAACTGGACAACCTTCCAAATGAACTTCTAGATGAAACCAGGGTGGTCTGAGGGAAGCCCTGGTCCTGGTGCCAGAGGGAAGCTGGTGCCAGCAGCCAGGGAAAGGAAGGCCTACTCTTGCACAAATTTTGTGCATTGGGCCTCTAGTATAGTAATAAAGTTCATGACTGACAGATCAGAGGAAACTGGCAAAAGAAATAGTGGTCAATAGTGAAGTCAATGATGATAAAAGTAGTAATTTATAAGATTAAGCTAAACATCGATGAAGAAAATGTAAAGACAAAGTTTGCAATTATAAAAACAGAAAAAGATCAACAGAAGACAGAGAAGGAAGCAAAGAAGCAAAGAAAAACAAAAGGGAAGTGACAGTGGAAAGAGGATTATTTCAATAGTGAAACCACATCCAGAGGGAGAAGCATAAAAAAAATAGATGAGAATGAGATGTATATAGAGAGTAATCAATGGAGAGGAATTAGATGAGGCACAAAAAGAACTGTAAAGAAAGAGTTAAAATAAGAGAAATGGTAGAGAAGATAGAGGAAGTGGGAAAGGGAGGGGGAGATGGTGAAATTGTGGTGTCTGAGATGACCATAAGACAAAAGCAATGTCTGCACAAGTAGTAGTTCACACCAGTAGTGAGTTTTCAAAGTAAAGTGTCTCCAAGTATCAAAATGATCCGTGTAACTCACCCAGACTGCTAGAGATGTCAGCAGGCATTTCACCCATTCTTATAGCTTTAATCACCATCCAATATATCTCCAGTCCAGACCTGTCTTTTAAGCTTCTAAAGTCATTCATCCAACTATCAGCAAGACCTCTGGTCAAGGTCTTAAAGGCCTTAGCCTTCTCCTCTTAGATGTCTTTCCATTTGTAATTCATCTCTTCTAAAACAGAGCACATCATCTTTTTCTCTAAAACCAGCACCTGTTCCCAGTGTTCTCCAGCTCTAAAACACACTATTAATTTACTTGTTCCTTCAAGTTCATATTCTCAGAGTCATCAGGATAGCCCTCTGTAACCTAACTCTATTAATTCTTCCTTTTAAATGTCTCCAGGCTTTCCATGCATCTCCATCACCAAGCTATCACTTTAATCAATGTCTATTATCACTTCTCACTGGAGCTAAAGTGACAGGCTCCTGCTTGTCCTCCTGCTTCTAATTTTGTTCACACCAAAAGTATTCTAAATTATTTAGCTAAATTGGCCTTCCAAAAATGCAAATATGTCCATGCTGCTCTCCTACATAAAATCCATTGTCCTTCACCTTCCGTTAGAATTAAGTTAAATCTCCTTTGTGTGGCCCCCACAGCCACCTACCTTGAGGCTCCTGCCTCTTTCTCCATCGTTATCATTGCCACTAACTTTCCTACTTCATATTCAAACATCCTTAAGCTCCTCTTGGTTACTTGCATTAATTGAATGTAGATCTTTGCACATGCTTCTCCGTCCATTTGGGGGGGTAGGGGGGGAGGCTATTGCCTTGGTCCCTTTCCTCCATAATCTGGGTAACTCCTGCTTCCATGATACATACTCTGGAAGGGGACCCTTATCTCAAATGTACTAGTTTTTCCTACTGTACCCTCCCCTCCTTCTAGAGTACTCTGTGTGATCTGTGTTCGAACATTTTTCAACTTTCAATATATTCACTTCTTTATGTTTCAATGTCATGGCTGCTCTTAAGTTGACAAGCACTGACACTTCAGTAGTCATATGCCCTACATTGTTATTAGTGTCCATCTCAGCAACTGGCACATAACAGAAGCTTAGCAAATGTGTTTAGTGAATGAAAATAATTGTTTAGACTCTGTATTCCAACATTTGGAAATTTGTCTGGCCGAAGTTAGTTTATTAGAGCATCTATATGGAATGCTTACAAAAACTATTTTAACAATTTAATTATACATATTTGTGTATAGACATGTAAATGTAACAGTATTTCTGGAAAAAAATAACATCACATAAAAATAAATACAAATGGCTTTTATGTAGCAGAAGGTCGCGCCTGGAGAAAGTGAAAGAGTGGAGTCTTGTGGCCGCAATGCTGTTGCTACTTCTCTGAAGCTCCTCTCAACCACTTGCTGAGACACCTGGCCGCCAAGATGCCTCGAATTATGATTAAAGGGGCGTGTGGAGGAATACCGAGGATGAAATTCTTAAAGCAACAGTAATGAAATATGGGGAAAACCAGTGGTCTAGGATTGCCTCACTGCTGCATAGAAAATCATCAAAGCAATGCAAAGCCAGATGGGATGGGTGGCTCAATCCAAGCATTAAGAAAACAGAGTGGTCCAGAGAAGAAGAGGAAAAACTCTTACACTTGGCCAAGTTGATGCCAACTCAGTGGAGAACCATCGCTCCAATCATTGGAAGAACAGCTGCCCAGTGCTTAGAACACTATGAATTTCTTCTGGATAAAGTGGCCCAAATAGACAATAAGTTTTTGTAGACCATTTGTTGTTTCCAAAGAGGAAACAACAAATGGTCTACAAAAACTTATACCTGGAGAAAGAGACCCAAATCCAGATACAAAACCAACTCAGCCTGATCCAATTAATATGGATGAGGATGAATCTGAGATACTTTCTGAAGTTAGAGCCCACCTGGCTAATACTCAGGGAAAGAAGTTCAAGAGGAAAGCAAGAGAAAAACAGTTTGAAGAAGTAAGGTGTCTTGCTGGCCACCAAAAGAGAAGAAAACTTCGAGCAGCTGGCATAGAAATTCAGAAGAAGAGAAAAAAGAAGAGAGGACTTGGTTATAATACTAAAATCCCATTTGAAAAAAAAGGCTGCTCTTGGTTTCTATGATACTTTCGAGGAAAACTACCAGGCTCTTGATGCAGATTTCAGGAATCTAAGACAACAGGATCTTGATGGTAATATAATATCTGAAAAAGAAGGAAGAGATAGAAAAAAAGACAAGCAGCATTTGAAAAGGAAAAATGAATCTGATTTACCATCAGCTATTCTTCAAACAAGTGGTGTTTCTGAATTTACTAAAAAGAGAAGCAGACTAGTACTTCCTGCCCCTCAGATTTCAGATGCAGAACTCCAGGAAGTTGTGAAAGTAGGCCAAACAAGTGAAATTGCACGTCAAACAGCTGAGGAATCTGGCATAACAAACTCGGCTTCCAGTACTCTTTTTGTCTGAGTACAAAGTCACCAACAACAGCATCGCTCTAGGACACCGCGAACGCCAGCTTTTCAGGACAGAATTCTGCAGGAAGCCCAGAACCTCATGGCCCTGACCAATGTGGACACCCCATTAAAAGGTGGACTTAACACACCTTTGCACGAGAGTGACTTCTCAAGCGTGTTTCCACAGTGGCAGGTTGTACGGGCTCCAAACACAGTTCCTTTAACCCCATTCAGGACTCCCTCTCAGGGATCCGAAGGGCTGACTCCCCGGAGTGGGACAACTCCCAAACCAGTTGTTAACTCCACTCCGGGTAGAACTCCTCTGCAAGACAAGTTACACATTAATCCAGAGGATAATGACTACAATGATCCCTCTTATGTGAAGCAGATGGAAAGAGAGTCTTGTGAACACTTCCATTTAGGGTTGAGGGGTTTTCCTGCCCCTAAGAATGACTTTGAAATTGTTCTACCAGAAAATGCTGAGAAGGAGCTGGAAGACCGTGAAATAGATGATACATACACTGAAGATGCTGCTAACAAGGATGGACAAAAGCAGGCCATATGAGCTGCAGAGCGTGTAAAGGAAATGAAGTGAAAGCATAAAGCTGTCCAGAAAGATTTTCCAAGACCATCAGAAGTAAATGAAACTATTCTAAGACCCTTAAATGTAGAGCCATTGTTAACAGATTTACAGAAAAGTAAAGAACTAATCAAAAAAGAAATGATCACAATGCTTCATTATGACCTTCTACATCACCCTTATGAACCATCTGGAAGTAAAAAAGGAAAACCTGTAAGATTTGCTACCAATAATTCAGACCACATTGCCTATCTGGAACATAACCCTTATGAAAAGTTTGCTAAAGAAGAGCTAAAAAAGGCCCAAGATGTTCTGGTACAGGTGATGTAAGTGGTGAAACAAGGTATGAGCCATGGAGAACTCTCAAGTGAGGCTTATAACCGGGTGTGGGAAGAATGCTACAGTCAAGTTTTGTATCTCCCTGGGCAGGGCTGCTACACATGGGCCAACCTAGCAAGCAAAAAGGACAAAATTGAGTCACTTGAAAAGAGGCTTGAGATAAATAGGGGTTATATGACAACAGAAGCCAAGAGAGCTGCAAAGATGGAAAAGAAGATGAAATTTTTGCTTGGTGGTTACCAGTCTTGTGCTCATGAAACAATTGAATGACTTATGGGACCAAATTGAGCAGGCTTACTTAGAGTTAGACACTTTTGAAGAACTCAAAAAACATGAAGATTCTGCTATTCCCAGGAGGCTACTCTGTCTTAAAGAAGATGTACAGTGACAACAGGAAAGAGAAAAGGAGCTTCAGCAAAGATTCACTGATTTGTTGCTGGAGAAAGAATCATTAAAGTCCAAGATGTGAAGGGCAGTATGTATTCTGTCACAAGATGAACTAATTGCTGATTTTTGTACTCTGGAAAGCTAAAACAAATGTTTATCTTCATTGACAAATTTGTCCATATCTGTGCTCTTTTGATTGTTTATTTTAAACAATATTGATCTAACACATTCTGTGTATAAAGCCTTTGACCCTACAGGACATTTTAGAGTTTAAATTATGACAATCATCCTTTTATCAGTGTCACATTTACAAAGTTTTTTTGTGTGTGTTTGTTTTGTTTTTTTCAGTTTCGGCCTTTATTTTAAAAGCCTGATTTTTAAGTGCTACCTGTGAGTATACTCTTAAATAAAAACAAAACCTAAAAATAAATAAATACATACATACATACAAATGTTTGTAAAAAAAAAAAAATGTCATTGAGGAATTATGGAAGAAGCACATAAAGAAAAAACAGAAAGCTAAAGATGCAGATTTGGGCCAAAGAAAATAGATGGGGGGGGGGGGGAATAGATTGGAAGGAAGGGACAGAGATAATAAGGAATAACAATAGATTAAGAGATTTCAGAGTTAGAGCCATCCTTTGATGTAGGGGGAAAGGAGGATGATTTGAGGTCAAGGGCACAAATTAAAATTGCAAATTAAATTTTTTTACAAATCATAACATAGAAGCAGAGCTTCAAGGACTTGGAAATCAGAAGTGCTCCTGTGTCATGTGTTCACCAAGTGTTGTGTCAAGAGGCCAAGAAGCAAGATCTCAATGTAGCCAAACGGGAACCAAAATGGTGGCATAGGAAAACACCTGAACTTACTGCAGCACACAACCACTTCAAAACTACAACTAAAAAACAAAACAAATATAATCCAGAACCACGTGAAGGCTGGCTGAGTGGAATTTATACAACAAGAAGGAAAGAGAAAAGCACACTGAGACTGGGGGAAGGTGCCGTATGGAAGGTACAGAAGCAAAAAAGACCAACTAGAAATTAAGTATACACTGACTGAAATAAAGAATAACATACAAAGATCAAACAGCAGACTAGAGGATCCCAAGATTCAAGTCAAAGATTTCAAATACAAAAAAAGCAAAAAACACTCAACCATAAAAGCAAAAAGAAAAAAGAATCCAAAAATATGAAGATAGTGTAAGGAGCCTCTGGGACAACTTAAAACTTACAAACATCTGAATTAAGGGGGTGCCAGAAAAAGATAGAGAGTAAGGATATTAAAAACCTATTTGAAGAGACAAATCCAGGAAGTGCAGAGAAGTCCAAACAAGATAAATCCAAAAAGGACCACACCAAGACACATCATAATTAAAATGCCAAGGGCAAAGACAAAAAGAGAATATTAAAAGCAGCAAGAGAAAAACAGTTAGTTTCCTACAAGGGATTACCCATATGATTGTCAGCTGATTTCTCAACAGAAACTATGCAGGCCAGATGGCAATGGCAAGAAATATTCAAAGTGATGAACAGCAAGAACCTACAACCAAAATTACTCTACCCAGCAAAGCTATCATTCAGAATTGAAGGTCAGATAGAGAGCTTCAAAGATAATAAAAAGCTAAAGGAGTTTATCACTGCCAAACCAGTATTACATGAAATGTTGAAAGATATTCTTCAAGTAGAGGAAGAAGAAGAAAAAGGTAAAGATAAAAACTATGAACAACAACATGACAACATATACCTATCTGTCAACAAGTGAATCTAAAATTCAAGTGAATAAAAAATCTGATGAACAGGATAAACTGGTTAATATAATAGAATCAGGAGCATAGAAAAGGAGTGGACTGGCAATTATCAGGGGGAAAGGGGTTTTGAGGGTGCAGGAAGAGTCTGGACAAAAATCATATACCGATGAATGAGGACAATGAAGGAGGCTGAGAGGTAAAGGCAGAGGGTGGGGTGGGAACCGGGTGGAGGAGAGTTAATGGAGGGGGAAGGGGAACAACTGAAATAATCTGAACAATAAAGATTTATTTTAAAAAATAAAAATAAAAAAAATTAATGTAGCCAAGCATATGACATGATGGGTAAGGCCACACAAGGACTTGGGGTGGAAGTGATTCAGCAGATACTATACATCCTTGGTATGTCAGTGGTAGGTGATCAGGGCTCAAGGACAACATTAGGTATCTCACCAGGAGGGAGTAGGTTAGTTATGAAGGTGAGTGTCACAGGACCCAGGCTGCAGGATGTCAGGAGTCTGAAATCAGAGTACCTGTTTCCTACTCTCCTTGATGCTGAGGACACTTTGATAAGGAAAGTGGTCCAATCCATGTCAGAATCTCATTCTCTACATTTGCTTTACTTGACCATTTTGTCTTTTTTTCACCATGTAGGGGAAGTTTTCTGTCATTATTTCTTCAAACAGCAGGAAGGCAGCAGATCATGATTACAAAATGGGTCCTGTTGATTTTACATGGATTGATATAGTAGAATTACACTAATTAAAAAAAAAAAAACAGTACCTTGTGTACTATATTAGTGTATCAATAGCAAAGTGTTGGATTTATATAGTTACTTTCACCCTTATTCATGGAGCAAAGTTAAATCCGAATGTTCTGTTGCTAGATAATAGTGTCACTTGGTCACAATCTTGAAAAAAAAAAAAAAAACCCTCAAAAATCAAATAAATGGTCAGGAAAAAGACCTCAGATAACTATTCTTAAGACCAACATATAGTTTTAAAGGCTGCCCTCCAGCATGCTACTGATTTATATAGTGATTTCTCATTAATTTTTGCTATTTGTCCAGTTGGAATGACTGGTTAAGCATTGATCAATGAAGCATGAGGTCCCAGGTTCCATCACAAGTCCAATTGCAGGCTTAATCCCTAGTCCAGGAGCATGCCAAGAAGGCAGCTGATCGATGTCTCTCCCTCATCAATGCTTCTATCTCTCTATCCTTCTGCCTTCCTCTCTCTCTAAAATTAATAAAAGCGTGTGTGTTTTAAATCTAAAGCCTGAACAGGGTAATTTGCTACCTACCCATTTCATAAATGAAGAAACTGATGCATATAGGTAGTGAAGAGGAGTTTGTTCAAAGCCTCAGAGAAATCAACACTTTAGATATCAATTTGTATGTTTAATTCATTTAGATACTCAGACATCCTTATAAACTCAAGTTTTCCACAATGTGAATTGTCATAAGATTTCTAATTTTTTTGTACATTTGTAATTTTTACTTATAAATTACAGTTTTCTGATCACCACCTGTTACTTTCTAGATACTATGGATATTGGAAGCAGTTCTATTTTGGAAAAACACAGTGGGAAAAGAAGTAAGAGTGAATAAGAATTTACTTATTTTTATGTTACAAATTAACTGGTTTTTAATGCTAACATTTATTAACATTATTTTCTATACCTTTCATAAGGCAAAAAACAATGTCTTTTAAAGTAACTATTTTTTTTTCAAAATGCTCATATATTCATGTTGGTTTTTATTCTGATTTTGAAATATATGTTTTATAAACATTGGTGTATGTCTTTCCAGAATTTTTCTATGCATGTATTTGCAGACTTTGGAATATAGTTTTATTTACCTAAATAGGTCAATTCAATAATACCTCTCCTTTTCCTGCTTTTTAAAATTAATACATCCTATCTAATAAAAATGGAATATGGTAACTGACCCTCACACCATTGCAAAGATGGCAGTGCCACAGCCAATAAGGAGAGAATATGCTAATTAACTGTCACACCCTCAAAGATAGCAGTGCTCACAGCCACAAGATAGCGGTGCCCAGTCCCCTCAGTCCCACTGGGGCAGCAGGTGTGCAGCAAAGCTGGGCCCACCCCCAGGCATGCCCAGCTGCTCCATGCACCTACCTCCAGAGTCCCCCAGTCCCTTCAGACCCCCAACCACCCAGGGCCAGCCCTAGGTGCAGCAAGCTTCAGATAGTGGCTGCCCAGCCACTTAGAGCCACCCAAGGCTCAGGTAACCAGGGCTGTCCAAAGCTTGTGCTGCTGGCAGTGGCAGTAGCAGAGGTGTGATGGGGCATCACCGCCCCCTAAGGGCTCCTGGACTGTGAGAGGGAGCAGGCCAGGCTGAGGGACTCCCCTCCAGTACGTGAGTTTTCATGCACTGGAACTCTAGTAGACAATGAAAATATTTAATATTTTAATAGCTATAAAAAGTCTTATTTAAGGGCTTTAACATGCACTATTTTCATTTTTGGTGCAGTAGAACATTTTTTTATTTGTTTTAGTCATTTGTTTTGCTTCTTTGTAAAACTCTTTGTCATGGAATGTTATGTCAGTACATTCTGTATGGTGTTTGTCTTCTTACTATGCTGTATGAATACAGAATTCTTATATGATATGTATTAAATATTATTATAAATATTGCTAGTATATTGTCCCATTTGTTTTTATTTTTTATTTATTAATATAATCTTGCCTGAAAGAAGTTATAAATTTGTAGGTATTCAAATTTCTCATCTTTTTCTCTATAATACTATCATATTTACAACAGCCATTTCTAGTTGAAGATTTAGAAAGTATTATTCTATATTTAATTCTAGTGTGTTTGAAATATTTGACCATTTTTCATGTGTGCATCTATATTTAATATTTAGAAAGTATTATTCTATATTTAATTCTAGTATGTTCGAAATATTTGATCATTTTTCATGTGTGCATCGCTGAATTTTGCTTCTTTGTGTATATGTGAGATGGGAATCATTAAATATTCCCTCCACTATTACATTATGATTTGAATCACCTCTTTGACTGCACAGTGCCTTTACCTGTCTATCTACTAATTTTTGTCCCTCGATTGAAGGATTTACAGAAAAGAAAGTTGACCCAGGGCTCCCGCCATCTTGATGACTCACTGGGAGTGAATTTTTTAAATATATTTTTATTGATTTCAGAGATTAAGGGAGGAGAGGTAGAAAGAAACATCAATGACAAGAAAGAATCATTCTGCATGCCCCCCACTGGGGATCAAGCCCACAACCAGAGCATGTGCCCTTGATTGGAATCAAACTCAGGACCTTTCAGTCTGCAGGCCAATGCTCTGTCCACTGAGCCAAACCAACTAGAGCAAAATATATTTTTAAAAATAATATTTTATTGCTAAAAAATGTTACCAATTATCTGAGCCTTCAGATAGTCATAATCTTTTTGCTGGTGGAGTATGTTGGTGTCTGCTAACTGATTAGGGTGGTGGTTGCAGAAGGCTCAGATGACTGTAGCAATTAAAAAAAAAAAAAAAGATAATCATGAAGTTTGCTAAATTATTGAGTCTTCCTTTTATACATAATTTCCCTATAGTATATGATTAATACCATTTTACACACAATAGAACTTCTTTCAAAATTGGATTCAATCCTCTTAAACTTTGCCACTCCCTTATCAACTAATTTCTTTTACTATCGAAACCTTTTATTGTAATTCAAAAATTTTCACAGCTTCTTCCCCAGGAGTAGATTCCATCTCAAGGAACCACTTTCTTTGCTCATCCATAAGAAGAAGTTCCTCATCTGTAAAAGATTTATCATGAGCCCTAGCCGGTTTGGCTCAGTGGATAGAATATCGGCCTGTGGACTGAAGGGTCCCAGGTTCAATTCTGGTCAAGGGCACATACCTTGGTTGTAGGTTCCCCAGATCTGGCTATTGTGTGTGCAGGAGGCAACCAATCAATGTTTCTCTCTCACACCAATGTTTCTTCTCTGTCTCTCCTTCTCCCTTCCACTCTCTTTCTTAAAAAAAAAAAAAAAAAAAAAAAAAAAAAAATCAATAGAAAAATAACTTCAAGTGAGGATTAACAGCAACAAAATTTATCATGAAATTGCAGCAATTCAGCCACATCTCTAGATTTCACTTTTATTTCTAGTTCTCTTGCTATTTCTATCACATCTACAATTACTTCCTTCACTAAAGTCTTGAACTCCTCAAAGTCAACCATGATGGTTGGAGTCAACTTCTTCCAAATTCCCTGTTAATGTTGATATTTTGATCTCTTACCATGAATCAAGAATATTCTTAATGGCATCTATAATGCTGAATCCTTTCCAAAAGATTTACTTTTCTATAGCTGCCATAGATAATTATTTCATCAAAGGAATAATTATCTATGGCAGCCATAGTCTTATGAAATGTATTTCTTTCTTTTTTTTCTTTTTTTAATTTTCACCAGAGAGGAAGGGATAGGGATAGAGAGCTAGAAACGTTGATGAGAGAGAAACATTGACCAGTTGCCTCCTGCACACCCCCCACCGGAGATGTGCCCACAACCAATGTACATGCCCTTGACCGGAATCAAACCTGGGACCTTTCAGTCCTCAGACCGACGCTCTATCCACTGAGCCAAACCGGTTTCGGCTGAAATGTATTTCTTAAATAATAAAACTTAGAAGTCAAAATTACTCCTTAATCCATGGGCTGCAAAATAGATATTGTCTTAGCAGGCATGAAAATAACATTAATGTCATTATACATCTCCATCAGAGCTCTTAGGTGACCAAGTGCCTTATTGATGAACAGTAATATTTTAAAGGGAATTTTTTTTTCTAAGCAGTAGGCCTCAGTGATAGTAAGTCATGTTATAACCAAATATGCTGTCATCCAGGCTATTTTGTTGCATTTATGGAACAGAGGTGGAGTAGATTTAGCATAATTCTTAAGGGCCTTGGTATTTTCAGGATGATAAAAGAACACTGGCTTCAGCTTAAAGTCACAGCTGCACTAGTCCCTCACAAGAGAGTCAGCCTATCCTTTGAAGCCAGACACTGATTTATCTTCTCCAGCTATGGAAGTTCTACATGAAATCTTTTTTCAATATAGAACTGTTTTTTCTATATTAAAAAAAAATCTGTTGTTTAGTGTAGTCATCTTCATCATTATCTTAGCTTAGATCTTCTGGATAACTTCCTGCAGCTTCTACATCAGCATTTGTTGCTTCACCTTGCACTGGTATGTCATGAAGATGGCTTCCCTCCTTAAATCTCATGAATCAACCTCTGCTAGCTTTCAAGGCAAGCATCTGAATGCCAGGATGTACATTTTGCTGGGGATGTCTGAGATCTGTTGTTCCTTGATCTCCTTGACACTCCCTTTTATTTGCTGTCAGCTTCTTCCTGATTTCAGCTGCTCTTACATTTTCCTTATTGTGAATAAGAAAACCTCATATGACTATGCAAAAGCATACTGTAAAGGACTGGTACTATGTAAAGGTAGGTTGCTTTTATTGCTATTATTGTTTTCCGCATGATGGCAACCAAGACGTTGTATTGTACCTGGAGATTTATTCCCACAAAAGTTGAGTGAAGACAAAATAGCCCTAGCCAGTTTGGCAGAGTGCCAGCCTGTGGATGGAAGGCTCTTGTGTTCACTTCCGGTCAAGGGCATGTACCTTGGTTGCAGGCTCCATACCCAGTCTGGGCTAGTGCAGGAGGCAACCAATCAATGTATCTTTCTCACATCAATGTTTCTCTCTCTTTGTCTCTCCCCTCCCTTCCACTCCATCCAAAAACCAGCGGAAAAGTATCCTCTAAATTTTGATGAGGATTAATGAACACAAATAAACAAAAACAAAACAAAACACCAAGAATAATAAAATATTTGAAGGTTACTGACATATAAATGATTATTTTATTTTCTGTTTAAAGGAAAAAAGAGAAAGCACATAAGTAAAAAAAACAGTCCCCAAAAAGGTAAGAACAAATGTGAGAATTCACATCTACAGACCTAGTCTTCCTGCCAGTTCCTGTCTTTGCCTTAGCCCCGAAATAGCCTATGGGCTTCATAGCTAATGGATTATTTAGAGTACATATTGAATTGTTGTAACAAAGAGTACATATTGAATTGTTGTAACAAAATACAGTGACCTAAATCACATAATATGTTTCTCTTTCATCAAACAGGTAGGAAGAACCTGCCCATTTCTTCTGAGTATTTCTGTCACCATATATTCATGTATGGCACATAATGAGCATGTGTTCACTCATTATTATTATTCTCAGTGTTTCTTGAGATGAAAATTAAACTCTATCTTAAATTCCTTTTTTAATTAATGTGGGTATCAATAATTTAGGATTAATGTGAGGTTAAAGAAAATGAAATCAAAAATTAAACTTGTTTAAACATTTAAGGCTTGGTTAAATATAAGGCTATGGGTTATATATTTTTCTTTATATGTTGGGCTCTTGAAAAGTTACAGTAAAAATTGAATGTTTAAAAAGCAATATTATATACAATGTGATTTTTCACAGTATCTGTTTTATTTTTTCAGTGAGAAACAGCGGCAGAGATAGAATCCAGTCTCTGAATAACAGAGTACCAAGGAAAAGAAGCAAACCAAAAGGTAAAAATTTTAAAGATACATTTTCAATTACTAAATATCTAAATTCTCATGCTATATTCTTTGCCTTAAGTAACAAACTTATTTCCCTAATAACTGTATGTAATTATACTAACTGTTGAGGAAGATATCAGATTTAGTCAATTCCAAAATGCATTAGGGATTGAAAGATAACATTGCAAACAAGTAACTTGGTAATGAATTCACAAACAGAATCTAGGGCCCAGGGGCCATGGCAGGGCCAGCTCTGCTGAACTGCTAATGTTGTAGTTAGAAATACAGCTGGGGTGTTTTTCTAAAACTCTACTATTTGCAATGCAATTTTATAAACAAGAGACATTTATGTTATTTTTCTCCCATAGGGACAAAAGCAGTCAACACCAGGCCTTTGAAAAGAAGGAGAAAAAGAGGTAAAAAGAAGTGGTTTATATTCTTTTAGTAATTAAGCATCTAAATTTTTATTTCATGCCCTGTGTTCTGAGTGACCAATTTCTTAATTGGCTTATAGAACTGGTAACAAACGTCATGATCGTCATTGGCAATTTCAACAATACAACAGGTTGCTGGTAACACCCATTTTATTGATGCTAATCAGTTGATCTGTGAGAGAGCACAAGCCTCCTTGGGCTTATGAAGGGCTCCCTTCACTACACTGATAACTTTTAAGGAGAAAAATATGGAGTGTGTGACTAACATGCTGTTTAATTGACCCTTCTCTTGATCACATAGAGACCCATCGGTGGCCCTCCAAGGGGGACCCTGAGTGGTAATATAAGTCTTGTGTCCTAATTTCTAGTATTTGTTTGATTATGTAATTTTTGCTTGTCATTTCTTCTTTTTGCCTCAATTTCCTCCTCTGTAAATGGGTGAGTGGCAGATGAACTCAACTGAGTGGCCTCCTAGGCCCTCTCCAGCTTTAAAAGAACTGACTCTGAAAGGACCAGGGACAAGCTACCCTCCCCATCCCAGACAGAAGCCTGTGTATATATTTCATGGATCTCCCTCAATGTTGGCCAGAAGGACAGGAATAGGTGCTGCTGCTTCTAATGTTCATTTTAAGACTTTCAGCCTGGCTGATGTGGCACAGTGGTTAAGCGTCGACCTATGAACCAGAGGTCACGGTTCGATTCCTGGGCAGGGTACATGCCCAGGTTGCGAGGTTGATGCAGGAGGCAGCCTATCAATGATTCTCTTTCATCAGTGATGTTCCTCTCTCTCTCCCTCTCCCTCCTTCTCTGAAATCAATAAAAATATATTTTTTTAAATAATTTCAACCCCTACTTCAGCAGAATCAGACCCAGTGCCCCACCCCAAGGATGTACAGCAGACCTCTTCCTGGGGGATCTGCAGTTTCTTCTAGAGCACCTGGCCCTGAATCACAGAGTGAAAGCCATACAGAAAGTTCACATGAAAGAGAAGTGAAACAAGGCAGAGAGCAAGGAGGGAAAGCAGACTGTTCCTGCTAAGTTCCTCATTGTCATCCTGCTCTCTTATCCCCCAAAATTATCCCGCCTCACATGGGGAGACAACACTAAAAATTGAAGGGTGCCAAAACCGTTTTTGGCTCAGTGGATAGAACATCAACTTGTGGACTAAAAGGTCCCAGGTTCGATTCTGGTCAAGGGCATGTACCTTGGTTGCAGGCACATTCCCAGTAGGGGGTGTGCAAGAGGCAGCAGATCTATGATTCTCTCTCATCGATGTTTCTAACTCTCTATCCCTCTCTCTTCCTCTCTGTAAAAAATCAATAAAATAGCCGAGACCAGTTTGGCTCAATAGATAGAGCGTTGGCTTGGGGACTGAAGGGATCTGGGTTCGATTCCTGTCAAGGGCATGTACCTTGGTTCCGGGCATATCCCCGGTGGGGGGTGTGCAAGAGGCAGCTGATCGATGACTCTCTCATCGATGTTTCTAACTCTCTATCTCTCTCCCTTCCTCTCTGTACAAAATCAATAATATATGTATTAAAAATAATAAAAATAAATAAAATATATTTTTTAAATGAGGGGTTATTTTCCATCCACATAATTAAAAGTAATAATATGGCTAGAAATCTTCCTTAAAAAAACAGGAGAAAAATCATTGTGCAATAGGTAGTTGTGGCCAACAAGCTTGGGAATTCAGGTCCTTCACATGAGACTGTGATGCAGGATTTCAGAGAACAAAAGTAGAGGATGATATCATGTGTGTCTTCTAACCTGCCATAGAAGAAAAACGTTGATCATAGGGAAACTCCCTTCAATACATTTTGATTTATAAAAGAAGGCTCTCAAGATAGTAAGAAGAGAGAGGGCACACTTAGAAGGTGAAATGAAAATAATAATAAATGATAATTAATAATAATAATAATAATAATGCTTCCTTGCAGGTCCAAGAATTCCCAAAGATAAACATATGAACTTTAAACTCTCTATTCTTCCCGTGACTTGTGGCCCAGCAAAGGGGATGTTATATAAAGAGAAAATGGAACAAGGTAAATTTCCTGGTCTTCTACGCTTTTCAACTAGAAACCACCCATGTGGATATTATATTGGTCAGGGGCAACAAAGGAAGCTCAGCCTGTCTTGCCCGGTCTCACAGGAATCTCAGCAAAGTGTATAAAGACAAATAACGGGAAGCAGCTCACCCTCAAGGAATTTGAAATTGAAGGAAACCACGAAAGGAGTAAAAATTGGAGGATGAGTGTGCACTGCGGTGGATATACCCTGAAACACCTGATTCAGGTATCATAGTGACAAAGGGCTTCCATTAAGAATGGAGTGTCATAGTTCACAAACTCCAAGCTTTATCGATGTTCAGAAAACCATCATGACTTCCCTTGCACAGGTCACAATGCATGCTGTTACTGACTACTGATAACATTCCACTCCCGTGTTATCTTGGCCAGTTTATCACAGTGTGATCCACTAAGTGCATGAACTCTTCTCTCTTTGAAGGTAGAAAGTAATTGTGGCCTTGACTCTGTCACTAGTAGGTGCCACTGTGTAATATGGTCACAAGAAAGTAATTTAAATTGGGGGTAGGGGACAGAAGAGGCCATCTCAGGCTTTGGGGACCAATAAAGTAGCATGGTAACATATCTGGGAGGCAGCTGGAAATACCAAGCTCAAAACAGTAGAAAAAGTACAGAAGTACAAAGACTACAAAAAGGCTCATAGCATTAATCTCATTTCCCTTTCAGAAGGGATTTCTAACAGACCCACCAAGAAAAAAGAAGGTAATTATTGCATGCCTTTCTGCCAATATTTTACCTGTCATATTGTTGATTTTCCATTTATCTGGCCTTATTCTATAGCTCCTAACTTCATTAATTCTAGTAAAATTTGATTATATAATATGGAGATTTTTGCACTTGCTGCTTTCAAACATTACAGTGTCTAGACTGAATGTTATATATATATATATATATATATATATATATATATATATATATATCTTTATTGTTCAGATTATTACAATAGTTCCTCTTTTATCCCCCCATAACTCCCCTCCACCCGGTTTCTACCCCACCGTCTGCCCTTACCCCCCCATCACTGTCCTCATCCATAGGTGTACAATTTTGTCCAATCTCTTCCCCACCCACCCCCTTTTCCCCGAGAATTGTCAGTCCACTTCCTTTCTATGCCCCTGATTTTATTATATTCACTAGTTTATTCTGTTCATCAGATTATTTTATTTACTTGATTTTTAGATTCACTTATTGATATATAGTTGTTCATAATTTTTATCTTTACCTTTTTCTTCTTCTTCCTCTTCTTAAAGAATACCCTTCAGCATTTCATATAATACTGATCTGGTGGTGATGAACTCCTTTAGCTTTTTCTTATCTGTGAAGCTCTTTATCTGACCTTCAATTTTGAATGATAGCTTTGTTGGCTAGAGTAATCTTAGTTGTAGGTTCTTGCAATTCATCACTTTGAATATTTCTTGCCACTCCCATCTGACCTTGCATAGTTTCTGTTGAGAAATCAGCTGACAATTGTATGAGTGCTCCCTTGTAGGTAATTAACTATTTTTCTCTTACTGCTTTTAATATTCTCTCTTTGTCTTTGCTCTTGGCATTTTAATTATGATGTGTCTTGGTGTGGTCTTCTTTGTATTCCTTTAGTTTGAAGTTCTCTGCACTTCCTGGACTTGTGAGTCTATTTCTTTCACAAGGTAGGGGAAGTTTTCTGTCATTATTTCTTTAAATAGGTTTTTAGTATATTGCTCTCTCTCTCTCTTCTTCTTGAACCCCCATAATTCTGATGTTGGTACACTTGAAGTTGTCCCAGAGGCTCCTTACCCTATCTTCATATTTTTAGATTCTTTTTGCTTTTTGCATTTCTAGGTGTGTATTTTTTGCTTCTTTGTATTTCAAATATTTGACTTGAATCTTGGGATCCTCTAGTCTGCTATTGGATCACCTATTTTTTATTTCAATCAGTGTAGGCTTAATTTCTAGTTGGTCCTTCTTCATATCCTCAAGGGTCTCACTAAATTTATTGGCCTTTTCTAGAAAATTCTTGAAAACCCTTATAACCGCGGTTTTGAACTCCATATCCAGAAGTTTTCTTTCCTCCATTTCTTTAATTTGTGATATGTTTCTCTGTCTCCACATTTTGGGTGCTTTCTTGAGTTGATAGAGTGGCTTTGTGTTCTATAGGGTCCAGTGGCTCAGCCTCCCAGTTACCTGAGGTGGACACTGTTGGTGAACCTTTTTGTGGGCTGTGTGCACAGTCTTGTTGTAGTTAAGCCTTGATTATTGTTGGTATCACTGGGAAGAATTGACCTGCAAGCCAATTGGCTGTGAGGATCAGCTGTATCTATGATGGGATAACTTTTGTGCTGGAGACAGCCTTATAGGGCAAGACTTGCTTCAGTGGGGCTTTAGTGTTCAGTGAGTCTGCCCCCTGATTGTGTCTCTATGGATTTGAGTAGTCATAATCTGGATGGTCCTACTTTGACCCCCTACACTGGCTCTTGGATCTCCAAGGAGGTGCTAATTTAGCCTCAGTCTGAGGTCACTCGGCAGGAACTACAGAGGTATTTGCAGGTTCCTTTTCTTTGTTTGGGTTTTGGAGGTCCTCAGATTAGGCGTAGGTGTAAAACAATACAGGCTGCTGTGGAGCCTTGGGCCTTCTTTTGGGTGTTCTGAGTCTCTCTGACTCAGCTGCAGTTTGTTAGGTAAGTTTAGATTTCAAAGGATCAAAAGCCTCTTTGCACAGCTTGGATGGGGTGGAGTCTCAGGGTGGAGCAAACTGCAATGTCTTCCTGTCTGCCCTGCCCCAAGAGGCTCCTGGGTCTCAGTGTCTCATGCTAATCACTACAAGCACCTCTAAGAGAAAGCCACCGTCGAGTTCTGCCTGATGGCCCACAGTCCAGTTTCTTCCCATATGAGTCTGGCTCCCCAGAATCTCACCCAGAACTGGTGTTCAGAGCAGTCGGGAGCTTGTGTCTCCCTTCAGATTGAAAAAGTCAGCCGTGTACTCAGTTGCCAGCCTTCTCTGCACGCTCACCTCCATACCTCTGCACTTTACTTCCACAGCTCCTCTGAGTCTCAGTGTGCTTTTCTCTTCCCTTCTAGTTGTAGAATTTCCACTCATCCAGCCTTCCTGTGATTCTGGATAATACCTGTTTTGTCTTTTAGTTGTTGTGCGAGGCAGCAAGTTTAGGTGTTTACCAATGCTGCCATATTAATTTTTTATCTCATTATTTTTTTTAATTGCATGTAAAATATACATACTGGCCCTATTTGGTTTGGCTCAGTGGATAGAGAGTTGGCTTGTGGACTGAAGGGTCCCATGTTTGATTCCAGTTAGAGGCATGTACCTTGGTTGTGAGCACATTCCCAGTATGTGGTGTGCAAGAGGTGGCTGATAGATGTTTCTCTCTCATCAATCTAGACCAGAACTTCTTTAAGCATTAAAACATAGGAGATAGAGGTGAGAATAATCCTTTAAAATAGATAATGAAACAGAGCTGACCTTATATGATTATTTCAACTTCATTGTCTAACATGGGAGAATAACTCATTGGGTGAGGTGGGAGTCTAGGACACCCAGAGATGCAAGCAGTTACATGGCTGCCTCTTTGGTCATTATGCCTTAGATCTATTGGGTGGCTTCTCTATGGCCTCTCTGTCCCAGCTGGAGGTAAGAACTCTTGTAGTCATTGCCCCAGGCTGAAAGGAGGCCCAATCATTTCATAGATACCCAAGGTCAATGCAAGCCTTTGGGATTCAGGAGAAAATGGAGAGGTACTCACCTTTAAGAAAAGATGCAGAACTGGGACTTTGTACCCATTTTATCTTTGTCACAGGAGAGCTGCAGAAGGCCATGAAGTCTGCAGAAACATTTGTATGGCACCCAGGAATCTGGACCCTGTGGTCACTGGGGGCTGTAGGTGATGAGTTCTCAGTCTGAGTCTTTCATTTAAGCTCCAACTCCATCTATGAAAACCAGCGCCAGCCTCCCTCCTTACATGGCTTCACAAAAGCCCCCTTGGGTCTAAGATCCACAGAATGGAATTTGCATTGGGCCAAACCATCACTGACACATAATTTAATGTTTTTTATTCTCCAATTAGATATATAGACTCACAAAAGCAGATGTACACCAAAGGGAATGTCTGAATCCTTTGTATAAAAAGTATGCTCAAATGTGTGCAATGAAAACTCAATATTATTTTTGAATAATGAGTATTCAATATTGTCGCTCAATCTTACTCTATTTTCTATAGATAATACCAGAGTCTCACAGTGATAACATTGCTGACCCATATGTAAGTACTGCACCTGTAACCCCAAAATAATCCAGGCCTCTTCAGTACATCATCTCTGTCATTGCCATCTTTCCCTGAAGCATGCTCACACTCAGAACATGTCACTATGTGTGATGAGCAGAGAATAGCATATGCATCACCCACACCAAGTAGATGGTTCTGGAGTTGGGTGTCTCAATATGAAAGCATCATTTCCATTTGTTTGGTGGAAACCATCATGTTTTTCCATTAGTATGGGAGGCAGAGCTCTAAACTACTGGGGTCTCTGGAGATGGGTCTTGGAGTAGAAATAGGCAAGGCTGGCCTAAAGATGGACAAAATCCATGACTCTCATTTGTTATGACAAAAAAAAAAAAGGATAAACAGTTAAATGGCCCCATGAGAGAGAGCCAGTGAGGCCCATGTGAGGATATGTCCAAGGATGTCCCTAAAGAGGCATTATACAAGTTTTCCTATTGAAAGGGAGAACATGGGTAAGAGACACATTGCAGCTTAGAATTTCCTCATGCATGTGACTTTTGTGTCTCTTCTTATATGAAATTTATAATTACAGAGAATTTACAAAATGGGGTATAGTCCAATTCACTTATGATTTGTAACTTTAGTAGCAGACCTTTTTTTTTTTTTTTTTTTTTTTTTTTTTTCCCTAAAAAGATGGTATTGTGATTAGGGCCTCTACATTCTTGTGGCAATGGAACTCACGGAAGCACTAGAATGAGATGAGATATTTAAAAATTGGGATTTGCAACACTGTTGATGGATTGGATATCCAGGTGTGGAAGAAAGCAGAAACCATATTCACTTCTGGGCTTCTGGGTGAATTATGGATTCCTTGATGAGATGGGAGCTAAAAGAGGAGCAGATTACAGACATGAAGACAAGGCATATAGTTAGGGACAGGGTGGATTTTAGACTTGATGAAAGACTTCTAACTGGAGATGATGGAAAATAGAGTGTGGAGGGTAGGGCCTCTGAAGGAGACCAAAGACCAAGGTTTTAAAGTCTAAGGGTATGTAAGGTAAGCATGGTCATGGGAGCCATAAAGGAGTAGGGAATGTAGGACAAATCCCCAAGGAATTTCAACATTCTAAGAGAGGAGCCTTCAAGAGAGGCAGAGTTTTAGAGGGGAGGAGGAGGGAATCCAAGGTAGTAGAGAGTCAGAGAACAAAGCATAGTGTTTCTAGAAGGAAAAAGTAGAATGGCACTTCCTGTCACCTCCTCACTTCCTCATCACCCGCCAGCATCTCAACCACCTATCACTAAGAGAGTTAGTCCTCATGTCTGTGCATTATTTTGTGCCTACATTGTCACAGGAGAATGTGAATTCCTCCTTCTAACTCATTGTATAGACAAGATATTTTCATCCAAATGTAGAGATATTACCAACACATTGGATGAGACATTCCCCCACCACAGAGTTCTCCTCAAACAGTTATCTTTCTGCTCAGGTGGAGCCAAAAACTTCTGCACATTTCTCCATCACAGACACATGCCCCTCATACATATAAATTTAATATGTAAAGATTCACATGTTATTGCCACATAGATTATCACACACACACACACACAGAGAAAAACATGATTTTTCTCACCGCCCAATGGACACATTCCTTGACCAATTCTTATTTTTGTCTATAATTTCTACCATCTTCAGTGTGTTTTTTTCATTCCACAATACTTAGACATAAACACTGTCAAGTTATTGACTTCACTAAATGAAAGTAAATCAAAATGTCTTCTTCTAAAATCTCTGCTTGGTGTTATTCTTTAATATTACAAGTTTCACCTTGGCAAAGCAAAACCTGTGTGTTCTAGAGTCCAACGATGTTGTCCTTCTGGAATCTCTCTGATCCCAATGATATCTACATTATTTCCCTTTCTAGCCAGAAAACTCAAATATATGTGTGGTGTGCCATAAAGGAGGAACACTATTTTGCTGTGATACTTGTTCAAGATCCTTCCATGAGACATGCCACATCCAACATATCGATCCTGACAGGTTTGTGACACTTGGCCTCCTCTTGCCCTTCCTTCTTGTGGGACAGCTCTTCCCACCATGCACACTCAGCCTACAAAGTTTATCTGCTTGTACGTGTCTTGATGCAGAGGGAGCATGGTCCTTAAGTATCAGGATCGAGACATGTGATCCAGAGCTATTTAATTGTGCTGACAGCAGTAGATTCATGGGAAGAGGAAATTCCTCAAGTGGTTTTTATGTGGAATAGAAAGAGGTGTCACCACCACCTCCCCTGCTTTGTTCCCTAACCCATGCACTTTGATGGGATGATGACACCATACATTTAGCTGCTGGTTGGAAACATATACCACCTGCCTTGGAAACATCTCAAAACTGGAAAAGCTGGGGCTGCAATGAGTCCTCTGAAAGCCATCCCCATGGTCTATCAGATCAGCTGACACTGGGTGACAGGGTCCATAATAAGACTCATGAATTCTGAGGATGAGTCCACTGCTGCATTTCCTTTGCTGTAAAATCTATCCTTGGTCAGAAGTGATGGTATGCAGGCTAACATGGAGATTTGCTAAGGCATCTATAAGTGGTGGTGTGGGCAGAGGATGTCTACCAGGAATGTGTGTATCCCCATGAGGACAGAGCATTGCCCTCCATAATGGGAAGAATCTAATGTAACCCAGCTGCTCTCAGGTAGCTCCCAGGCAGTGGTGCCACCTCAGGGATTTGGCATAAACCTCTCTAGTCAGTCAGGCGGTCTGCAGAGGCTAAAGGCAGATTCACTTTTTTGTTAAACCCACAAGTAGTCCCCATCCTGGAACCATGGACACTGTAATGGGCCTTTTTTTTCAATTATAATTGACATTCAACATTATATTATTCATTTTAGGTATATAACATAGTAAATAGACATTTATATAATTTACCTAAATATATAAATGTCTAGTACACATCTGACACCATACATAGTTAACATAATGTTACTATTTTCCCTATGCTATATTTTACATCCCATAACTGTTTTTTATAACTGACAATTTGTACCTATTAATTTGTAATGGGCCTATGAGAAAGGATTTAAGTGGCCCAGGGAAGAAGCTAAATGATATCTCTAAGATGAATCATTGTGTCCATCGGATTGTGGAGAGCCTCCCAGCACAGAGAACCTGGGAGAGCCAGCTCTAGAGGCAAATAGAATATCTGAAACTCTGTTGGTAGGGTTCCTTCCCAAGAAGTCTCTGCAGCAAAGATTCTAGATATAGATAAGGCAATGCCAGCAGGGAAAATGCCCATGGCTTGTTCTCTGTGCTTATTCAGCAAAGTTTAGAGACAAGAGCTGGTTTCTGATTTTTCCTATGGCTTGATGGTTCATCAAGGCCCAATACTTTGGTCCTCATGGTACTGGTTGCCAATACTCAACTGTGGCAGACAGGGATCATTACCATACTTATAGTGGCTCAATTGGGAACCCTAAGTTTTGAAGTGAATGAGAGTCCATCACCCACTATGGCACCTAACTCAACAGAGAGGTTGAATTAGGTGCAATTGAGTCTAAATGGGACTCTAGTGCAGAGGGGATTCCAAGAGAAAAGTTGGCTTCAAGGTGGCCCTTTTGAGGATTTCAATAGCTGCAGGAATAATGGCTGCTTCACAGAGAACCTGCCCCTGCTCACTTCATGTCCTGCCTCTCAGGAACCCATGGAGTTGCATCTTCTGCCAGGTAAAGGTTATTCAGGAAAGATGCCCAAAAAGTCAACCATGTCGTCTGGAATCGGAAGTCCTAGAACGGAAGATGCTACATGAGGAGCACATGGTGAGTTGCAACGGGAAGTTGAAGCCTCCCCTCTCTGTTCAGTTGAGAGAAGAATCAGTCTTGCAGGGGCTGGAGGAAAGGTGCCCAGAGGCAAGCTGCTGTGCTTTTTTCTCTGTGCTTTGACCACACCTAACACCAAAATGTGTAGCCAAAGGATATCGCCTTTCTGTGTTTGTTTCAGAGTCCATGGGTTTGGGTGTTGTACATTCTGCCTGAACATGCTTAGCAGTTCTCCAAGCTGCTTTTCACTTAAGATCTCCTATGTCTTTTGCAGAAATGTGAGTTACTCCTCTTGACGGTCTATGGCTGGTCAAAAAGCTCCTTTTTTGCCCCAAAACCATATTATGTAAGTAACAGCAACAAAGTCCCAAACTGACATTTGTCAAATTTGTGATATGAATGCAACAGGTATAAGTTGCCATCATCATTGCCTTTTTTATGGATATCTCTGTCAACTTAGTCAGCCCTTAGCAGTTTAGGCTGCTATAACAAAATACCACAGACTGGGTGACTTCAACAACAGGAATCTGTTTCTCACAGTTCTGGAGACCGGAAGTCCAAGATCTGAGTACCAACATGGTCAGATTCTGGTAAAAGCCCTCTTCCACGTTGCAGACTGACAACTTCATGTTGTGTCCTCACATGGTAGAAATAGGGAGAGAGCTCTCTGAGGTCCCCTTATAAAGGGCATTGATCCTATTCATGAGCACTCCACCCTCCTGACCTAATTATCTCCCAAAGGCCCCATCTTTTAATACCATCACATCGGGGGTTAGAATTTCAACATCTGAGTTGCGGGGAGTGGGGAGGGGGGAGAGACATAAATAGTCATAGCAGTGAGAGTCTATAGAAAGTAGACTTGGAACCATGCCTATAGCCTGCCCTTTGACACTTTCATCCACAGAGTAAAAAGCCACCTCAGAGTCTGGAGAAGTGCATGTGGTTAAACAAAATCAGAGAAAATCTGGCTTCAAAGTTGTACCTCAAAGTGAAGGAGTTTGTGCAGGACATACGCCTCATCTTTCAGAACCACAAGTCAATTTACAAGGTAAGTGGCTGTCCCTGCATCCCTTTTTCTTTAGATTAAGTCACTTTGACTTTCCTTTTCTTATATCAGGTAAATGTTACACTCTCCTCATTATGCGGCAAGCACACACAAGTAAAAATTCTAGTGGTCTACAGAGGTGAAAATATAATAATCAACCAGAGGTATCTGTCCTAGGACCTAAGAGTCTGCTCACTGCTAGATAGTCAATTTTCTCCCAGAGAACAGTAGACTGCAGATCTAGTCCCTTTCGCAGGAAACAGAAGTGTTTTTTAAAGGCAACCAGTGTTTGTCTTCTCTAAAGGAAGATGCCAAATCAAATTTCTCAAATTTCAAAATCTTGGATTATTTTACATCCAAATCTCCTAGTGCTGTGTCAAAAACTTAACAAGCCCTAGCCGATTTGGCTCAGGGGATAGGAGCGTAGCCTGCGGACAACAGGTCCAAGGTTCAATTCCAGTCAAGGGCAGGTACCTCAGTTGCAAACTCCTCCCTGGCCCAGGCCCTGGTCAGGGCTCGTGACTGAGACAACCAATCAATGTGCTTCTCTCACATCGATGTTTCTCTCTGTCTTTCCCTCTTTCTCCCACTCTCACCAAAAATAAATTTAAATAAATAAATAAATAAATGGAAAATATATACTTGAGTGGAAAAATAGCTTCAGGTGAAGATAAACACACACACACACACACACACACACACACACACACATTAACAAGGATTGCCTCAAGGGGTAAGAATGAAGGGAAAAGAAAGCACAATAAATTTACTGTAGACATTTCCAAACCACTATATTGTTGCAAATAATATGGGCTGTATTCAAAACTCAAATAACTTCTATTTTGTCAAATTAAATCAATCAATCAATTTCTGGTGAAGAATTAGGCTGCAGTATAGTACTACTTTTGTTTCTTTGTCTTCCAGATAAAAAAAAAAACTGATCAAACTATCAGAGAACATTAGCTATTCTTAACTGGATAAAGACTCACTTAACATTTGGGGGTGACCTAAAATGAAGATCTTGATTACCTGAAACTTTGGGAGTCTAAGCTCATTGGCAATGGCTTATGTTTTTCTCTTTGCTTTTTCAGGGCCAGAAATTCATCAGGCTGGGATTACAAGTAGAGAACAGATTTGAAAAAAACTTCAAAGACATTTTTGGAATTCAGTAAATCAGCAAGAACAGTTCTCAGTGCAAACCCATTACTTTGTGATTTTTGTCCATTTCTGTTTCCCCCTTCAGAGCCTCCAACAGTACGTGTCCATGGTCCCACTGAGCATTCTGCCTAATGATATGCAAAAACAATCACACTTCTTTTTTCAAACTTATTTTGTTGTTATTTCAGCTCATTTATTTTTCTAAAGAAAATTTAAGATTGCTTTGTCCAGATCTCTTATTAAATAAATTGGAGTGAAATTTAAAATAAAAATATTGAGTCTTTCTATAAAGAATCATATCATGTGCTTTCATTTATTTAAATTATTTATTATTTTGTTAGGTAAAGTTTTCTCTCCTCTCCTCCTCCTGATATAGAACTTATTCATTTCTTGCTTTTTCTTTTTACTGTCAGGTATTTTATATTATTTCTTATTATTATGAAAGTGACCTTTTTCCCATTACAGTTTCTTATTTATTGTTGCCCGTTATAGAAAACTACTGTTATTTATATATTTTTGTAAAGCCAGTGTTTTTTACTTATTTTGGTTTTTGATTACCGTAATGAATACTTTTTTGCCTTTTACCCCCTGGCATCAGGAAGCACATAGTATAGCATACTGTTTCCATAGAGTCAGAATCCTAATTGATACAGCTGATAAAAGCATTCCTCACGCACTAAAACCTCTGACAGTTCTTGGTTCTGTTGGGGAATGGCTCTGCCATGACATCCTGATGACCTTGCATGTCTCCACACGGCCTACATAGGCAAGACTTAAATGCAGCTGATCTGATTTAGACCTTGGAAGAATGCCCAGTGATTTTTCCAAAACATGAGAGCATGGGAGACTTGTGAGGAGCTGCTACAAAGCCATTTTTCATTCATCGCCTTATCTTCCAGACGCTATCATGACTCTCTCCTTTCGTTCCAAGTTCTGATGAGGTCTGAGGCCTTCTGATTCTTTATTTAGGGCACAGCTGTAAGCTATACAACTGCTGGCTGCAACATGAACCATCACTCATGTTGCACCATAAGGAACCACAATCCCTTTGTTTGGGTACAATCCTATGATTCAGAGAACATGGGAAGCTGGTACCTTTGCTTTTCTTCCTTTTGTTGTCTATGTAAGTATCAAACTGAATAGTAAAAGAATGCATCTTTTCTTTACCAGTCAAATCTTTTAGCTTTGCTTGACAGGTTCTCAGACCCAAAATATTACAGTTATAGGAAAAAGAATACCACATATTGGTAACTGGTTCAGAGTATACACTATACCATTCAGAAAAATACCTCAGCATCAGAAATTATTGTCTCTAGATAGCTCCAAATTTGAGTCTCCAATACACCATGTCACCATTCAATAATAAGATTTTGTTATTGGAATAGAAAATTTTGAAGATTAAATGAATTTATGAATGTCAAATGTTCAAAATCATGTCTGAAACACATGAATGTGTCATCGTGGCTACACATAGTAGGGATTCTATATTTAAAACATTAACTCAAGCAAAAGGCAGCAATTCTTATTGTCTATTCAATTAGTTGATGGAAATGGAAACAAATAGAGGTCATAAAAACCAAGGTTGATATGTTTCCTAGCCCTTCCCAAAGAGACCAATGTCTGTTTTCCAAATTAATGGTGTTCTGGGAAAAGGAAAATACCCATATCCTTAAAGGGTTATTGAAAAAGAATCCTCAGCTCATTCTAGAGGCCTGAAATGCCATAATGACCTAACAGAAGAGGTTAGGTGTAAAATTCAATTTCTACCTCATAGTCAATTTAATTAAAAAAAAACATTTCTTATTACAATTGATGGATTTAGGGATGATTCAAAAATAAAGGTGTCTGGAGCTCTGTCTCCCTTTACTGATGTTATGAGTGTAAAAGGATGGTCACCTAAGAAGGTTAAATGTTCAGAGATCTGCCAGAGAATACATTTTCTTTCCAGGACTACAATTATCTAGAAAAATGGATAAATTCCATCACAGACCAAATATTGCATATATCCTCCAAATTTGTTCATTCCCTTGCATGAAGACTGGCTGAGTGACTAATACACTTACCAATGGGCTATGATCAGAGGTGGCATGTGTCATTTGCAAACTAATTCATAGGAGAGCAGTGAGAATTCTCCATGCACGTTGATTATGGAAGCCTGGTTTTGAGAGGACAGAGCCCAGAGAACTGAAACAGCCTAGTACATGTATTTACTACCACCTCAGAGGGGCTCCCAGGTGCACTGTGGGCTTTAAGTAAGCAAGAATTAAACTTATTTGTGTAAGCCAGTGGAACTGAGATTATTTATTGTCACCACACAAGCTAGCAAGTCCTGACTTATTTGGTACTAAAAACAAGAGAACACTTGTAGGAGTGAACTTTGGGTTTTGGAGAACTGTGTGCCAGGAACCAGAGACAATGGCCAAATACATTTTTTTTATTATAGGCATGCTATCTTGTTTCTATTCTGATGTCAATGTACAACACATGTGCAATAAACAGAGCCTTGTATCTCACATTTCTCAAGAATGGGTTCCCATGGTTAAGTGAACCATGGTCTGTGGAGTGCACTCAAAGTAAAATGTATCAAGCCCAGCTGGTGTGGCTCGGGTGGTTGAGGGTTGGCCCATGCACCAGGAGGTCACTGGCTTGATTCCCAGTCAGAGCACATACCTGGGATATGGGCTCAATCCCCAGTAGGGGGTGTGCAGGAGGCAGCCGATTGATGTTTCTCTCTCACTGATGACACTCTCTCTCTCTTTTTCTCTCTGAAATAAATTTTAAAAAACATTAATTTATTTATTTATTAATTTTTTAAGTAAAACACATCAAGAAACAGGAGCTCTGAATTCAGATGCCAGATGCTCTGCAGGCCCAGGCTGGCCATCCTCACACTCTTCACCAGGCCCACATCTCGGTGCTGATCTCTGGGCTTCTGGAGGCACTTCCTGCCCACTGGATTCACTGCTGATCACTGCACAAAGGAACCATGAGGAGTCTCCATGTGGCAGCAAAAACACCATAATAAGGGGACTCCAGGAGAGACCCAGCAGCTTGCAGAACTTCTAGATAGGAATGTCCCTGCACCAGACAGTCTGTCTTCCCAGGGAATCCTGTGGCCTGCAGGCTACTGGTGCTCCAGGCACTCTCACTGGTGGAAGCTCCCTGCACTGAGCCCCAGTCTCCCTCTTTTGCACCACCACCACCTCACTCCACTCCACCCCCGTTCTCCCTTGCCCACCTCCTGTCACAGCTGCTGTGACATACAAAGTACCATCACATGACAAACTCTCTTAGCCAGCCTTACCAATTATTTCAGGTACTTGGTCACATGCTGGCCTTGCTTGCTGGCCTCTTTTGTTTATCTGGGGGGAACAAGATGAAACTGTCTTCTGCATATCCATCAGACCCACAGCACAAGATTGCACTGGATTTTCATGTGTGGCTAGCTCTGCCCCTAAAACAAATAATGAGTCATGAAAAAATCTTCACCTATTCCCCTCAAAGAGCCTCATGGCTCCCTTTCTTCCCTCTCTTCCTGTGCCCCTTGAGAGGCTCACTCTCATGAAGAATCTCACCTCTCGCCTACTACCTACCTCTGTATTTGTGTCTTTCTCTCTCCATTCCTCAAGTGCTTTTCTTTTTACCTTGAATCTATCTTTTGGTTTTTCTCTTTTCCCTTTACCTGCTATTCTCACTCACTAACTGATAATAATCTTGGCTGGATTTGTGTTTATTCAGAAGTTAGGTTTTTTCCACAAAGATAGCTTATTACATATATATATATATATATATATATATATATATATATATATATATATAAAATTTTGAGAACTATTTTGTAAAGTTTTCCTATAAATATATTGATAATGTAATGTTTGCTAAAACACATGATTCCCTTTAGACCACAGAAATATGAGGACTTTCCTGAAAAATGTTAATTGAGCATTTTTTTAATATACATTCTTCTCAAGTGCACATGGGTCATTTTCAAAGATAGACCATATATTGAGTCACAGGCAAAGTCTCTTCAAATTCAAGAAGATACAAATCATATCAAACATCTTCTCAGATCACAGTGGCATAAAACTGGAAATCAACTACAATAAAAACAATCCAAAAAAATCAAACACCTGGAGACTAAACAGCATGCTATTAAATAATGACTGGGTTACCAGAGAGATCAAAGAAGAAATAAAAAAAACATCATGGCAACAAACGACAATGAAAACACAACAATCCAAAATCTATGGGACACAGCGAAAGCAGTCTTGAGAGGGAAGTTCATAGCTCAACAAGACTCCTGCAAAAAAAAAAAAAAAAAAAAAAAAAAAAAAAAAAAAAAAAAAAAAAACAAGAAACAATGGAAATAAATTACTTAACCCTATAACTCAAATAGTTAGAAAGAGAGCAAAAAGAAAAACTCAATATAAGCAGAAGGAAGGAAATAATAAAGATCAGAGCAGAGAAAATTACATAGAAATTTTCAAAGAAATTACAAAGAAATACAAAAGATCAACAAAACCAAGAACTGGCTCTTTGAAAGGATAAACAAAATTGATGAACCTCTAGCCAGGCTCACCAAGAAGCAAAGAGAGAGGACCCAAATAAACAAAATCAGAAATGAAAGAGGAGAAATAACAACTGACCCCACAAAAATACAAAAATACAAAAAAAAAAAAAAAAACTACTATGAACAACTCTATTCCAACAAACTGAACAACCTGGAGGGCATGGACATATTCCTAAAAAAATAAGACCTTCCAAAATTCAATCAGGAAGAATCTAAAAAGCTCAATAATCCAATAACTATGAAAGAAATTAAAACAATCAAAAAGCTTCCAGCAAACAAAAGCCCAGGGCCAGATGTCTTCACATGGAGATTTACCAAACATTCAAGGAAGAACTAAAACCTATCCTCCTCAGACTATTCCAAAAAATTCAAGAGGAAGGAACACTTCCAAGCACATTCCATGAAGCCAACATCACCCTAATATCAAAACCAGATAAAGACAGCTACACTGAAAGAGAATTACAGGCCAATATTCCTCATAAACATAGATGCCAAAATCCTCAACAAAATTCTGGCAAATCAAATCCAGCAGTACATCAGAAAGATCATACATCATGAACAAGTAGGATTTATCCCAGGAATGCAAGGATGGTACAATATCCACAAATCAATAAACATGATACATCACATAAACAAAATGAGAGAGAAAAAAGTCATATCAATTGATACAGAAAAGACATTGGACAAAATCCAACACCCATTCTTGATAAAAACTCTCAGCAAGGTTGGAATAGAAGGATCATACCTCAATATAATAAAAGCCATGTATGACAAACCCAAAGCCAAAATAATATTCAAAGGACAAAAACTAAAACTATTTCCCCTAAGAACAGGAACAAGACAGGGATGCCCACTCTCACCACTCCTGTTCAACATAGTACTGGAAGCATTAGCCATTGCGATTAGACAAGAAGAAATAAAAGGCATCCAAATTGGAAAAGAAGAAGTAAAACTGTCCTTATTCACAGATGAAATGATATTGTACATAAAAATCTCTAAAGACTCCATCAAAAAATTATTAAACTTAATCAATGAATTTAGCAATATAGCAGGATACAAAATTAGTGCCAAGAAATCTATGGCATTTCTATACACAAACAGTGAACTTACAGAAAGAGAGACTAAAAAAGCAATCCCATTTACCATCACACCAAAAAAATTAAGATACCTAGGAATAGCCGAAACCGGTTTGGCTCAGTGGTAGAGCGTCGGTCTGCAGACTGAAAGGTCCCAGGTTCAATTCCGGTCAAGGGCATGTACATTGGTTGTGGGCACATCCCCGGTGGGGAGTGTGCGGGAGGCAGCTGGTCGATGTTTCTTTCTCATCAACGTTTCTAGCTCTCTACCCCTCTCTCCTCCCTGTAAAAAATCAATAAAAATATATTTAAAAAAAAAAAAAGATACCTAGGAATAATCCTAACTAAGGAGGTAAAATGCCTATACACAGAAAACTATAGGACACTGAAAAAAGAGATAGAGGAAGACATAAACAGATGGAAGAACATACCATGTTCATGGATTAGTAGAATTAACATAATTAAAATGTCCGTACTACCCAAAGCAATCTATAGATTAAATGCACTCTCCACTAAAATACCAACAGCATATTTCACAGACCTAAAAAGAACTCTCCAAAAATTCATCTGGAATTAAAAAAATAAAAAATAAAAAATAAAAAAAATAAAAAAAAAAAAACCCTCGAATAGTTGCAGCAATCCTGAGAAAGAAAAACAAAGTAGGTGGGATTCAATACCAGATTTCAAGCTGTATTACAAAGCCACTATTCTCAAACGTCCTGGTAATGGTACAAGAACAGACATATAGACCAACGGAATAGAATTGAGAACCCAGAAATCAACCTAGACCACTATGCTCAATTAATATTTGACAAAGGAGGCAAGAGCATACAATGCAGTGTCTTCAATAAATGGAAAATTGGACAGATACATGCAAAAAAATTAAACTAGACCACCAACTGACACCATACACAACAATAAAGTCAAAATGGATAAAGGACTTAAATGTAAGATTGGACACCATAAAAATATTAGAGGAAGCCACAGGCAGCAAAATCTCAGACATGCTGAAGTGATTTCTTCACCAATACCGCACCTAGGGCAATGGAAACTAAAGAGAAAATAAATGGGACTACATCAAAATAAAAAGCTTTTGCACAGCAAAAGAAACCATCAACAAAACAACAAGAAAGCCCACTGTATGGGAGAACATATTTTTCAATGTTATTACTGATAAAGGTTTAATCTCCAACATTTACAGGGAACTCATACAACTAAATAAAAGGAAGATAAATGATCCAATAAAAAAAAATGGGCAACAGCCCTAAATAGATACTTTTTGAAAGAAGACAGGATGAAGGCCAAGAGACATATGAAAACATGCTCAAAGTCACTAATTATCCAAGAGATGCAAATCAAAACGACAATGCGGTACCATCTCACACCTGTCAGAATAGCTATCATCAACAAATCAACAAATGACAAGTGTTGGCGAGGATGCAGAGAAAAAGGAACCCTCTTGCACTGCTGGTGGGAATGCAGACTGGTGCAGCCACTGTGGAGAAGAACAGTATGGAGTTTCCTCAAAAAACTAAAAATGGAACTCCCATTTGACCCAGTAATCTCACTTTTAGGAATATATCCCAAGAAAGTAGAAACACCAATCAGAAAGGATATATACACCCCTATGTTCATAGCAGCACAATTCACCATAGCTAAAATTTGGAAACAGCCTAAATGCCCATCAGCAGTTGAGTGGATTAGAAAACTATGGAACATCTAACAATAGAATACTACACAGCCATAAAAATTAAAAAATTAAAAAAAGAAGGAATTCTTACTATTTACGGCAGCATGGATGGAACTGGAGAGCATTGTGCTAAGTGAAATAAGCCAGGCAATGAAAGAAAAATACCATATGATCTCACTCATTTATGGAAAATAGAGGACATTATAACCTGATGAACAAAAGACAGATACAGAGACAGCAAAGCATTGAACAGACTGTCAAATTACAGTGGGAAGGCTGTGGAGTATTGGGGAGGAGGGAAAGAGAGCAACCAAAGGACTTGTATGCATGCACTTAAGCACAACCAATGGACACAAGACACTGGGGCAAGGGGGGGATGAGGGCATACAACAGGGGTAGGGGAGGCTGGGGGAAGGTCAATGGGGAGAGGGGTAAGGAGATATATGTACTACTATATGTAATACTTTAAACGATAAAATAAAATTTAAAAAGAAAACAGGAAAAAAAAAAATACTGCCGCTCCAAAATTGCCAGCTCAAATCCAACCAACCTTCCTTTTTACCTCTTTCTCTCCCTTTTTCAATTTTCTACCAGGGTCCAACCTCCAGGCATTGCTGCTTCTATCTAGGAAGGTATCTCTGCATCCTGGTTGCCAATGGCCTCTGTCTCCCTGGCTTCTCCTGTCCCCTGCTTTTGTGTTCTTCTTTCTAGCGATGCTCTCCAGCTCAGTCCTTGATATCTCTATTTTCCTTCCCAGGTCTTTTCCTCTGCACCTCCCCACCTATATGCCAGGCTCCCTTCCTGTTCTCTCTGTCCCTATGATTTTCCCCACTTAACCCACAGAAACAAAAGATGAGCTTTTTATTTTTATCAATGTCTTCTGGCAGTGGAAAGAGGGTGATGGGAAGTGACAGCTTAAAGGATATGGCATTTCCTTTTGAGGAGATCAAATTATTTTGGAACTAGATAGAGGTTATGCTTGCACAATGTTGCACACTTTTCAATGGTTGATTTTATGTTATGTGACTTTTACCTCCATTTAAAAAGGAATAAAGAACAGATTCATCCTTGCTTATTTGAACCCAGGCCAATTACATACATGGTCTCTTGAGGATTTCAGTTTTCTTATGTGCATAATAGGCACGTAGTGATACTAACCTTTAAATGCATCTGTGAGCACTGAATCCACAACTACCAGATAGATGTTCAACCAAATGAGCTCTCAATAATGTTATTTTTATCCCTTCTTACTGTCTTTCATTTCTCCTTTCTTCCCCTCTCTCTCTCTCTCTCTCTCTCTCTCTCTCTCTCTCTCTCTCTCTGTACCCACATCCCTTTCCCCACAGTTACCACTTCCTCTTTTTTCTATACGACAATCTTTCTTCTTGCACATTTCTGTTCTTAAATAACATCCCCCACATTTAAATCTGCCCCTTTTTCCATCCTCAAAGTTGATGTTGACTATGGGCCCATAGTTCTTAGCCCTTCACAGCTTCACACTGACGGTCTCCTATGGAAACTCATAATTTACACTTGAGATCTTAGTCCACCCTCCAGGTTACTGGGCAGAATCTCTCTCTGCCACCTCTTGCTAATACCCTTGGATTCCACACAGAATCAGGTCATTTTGGAATCAACTCAAAGTAACACATGTCTACCCACCCCATGTTCCCCTGGTATCCCAGCACCACCATCTCCTTTTGGTTCCTTTATCTATTTTTCTTCTTAGTCATAAGAAAGCAAAGTTTGTGTCTTCTCATAATTACCTCGTTCACAACTTGGCTGAGTGCTGGGCATTTTGTATGTCTCTTCTCTATCACATTCCCAGGAAAAATGTTTGTCTTCAATCACTGAGCAGAGGGGGAAAAAAATAGAGGTTGCAGGTAGATAATTAGGGACATCACTTCATAATTACATATCTGGGTCACCCATAAATCCATGCCTTTGAATGGGGGGGGGGACGACTTCTGGTCCTTGGGTCAGTGAATCTCAGTGTTTCCTGACTTGGTGTTACTTATCCCTTTTCCTGGGGCAATGAAGACGGCGGGGGGGGGGGAATAACACTGAAATTCTACGGTGATGAGTCTTGGGTTTTAAGGATGGTGGTGAAACTGGAAAAGTTACTAAAGTAATTAATCACCCAACAAGATGATCAGAGAGGAGTAAAAACATTTTCCATATAAATGCTATAAGTGGAATGTCTCTGTGAACTGTATAAACCTTAGAAAAGAACAGAGGAATTTTCTCAGTAAGAGAGCTAGTTATTCCTGAAGAATCAAAAAAGGACATTATTATACCCAAATGAAGCCCTAGCACAGTAGTCACTTGGCAGGTTATTTTACATGGCAGTTTTGTCCACAATTACTTCCATTCATACTGCCTAGCCTAGGGCCTGGGACATGGTAAGCATTTCGTAAATACTTGTTAAATGAGTGACTAAGTTAATGAATGAATGAAAAGTAGACTTCAACCCCAAAAGGGAGGGAAGAAAATTGATCACCATTTTTGAAGCTTCTATGAACCTGAATTAAGTCAGGATACTCCTTCAGATGAACCCTGCTGAACAGAGCTTGCAGAAGTGACCGATCAAACATCTTCTCGAGGTGGCAGAGAATATGATACACCACTCTTCCTACAGGAACCAAGTCTTCACAGGCTTCTTGAGAATCCTTTTAAAGAGCACAATGGAAAAAATATATAAAGTGATTGTTTTAAAGTTAAACAACCATCAAGGAAGTAATTGCATAGGAATTAGTCTACTTTTTCAGTATAGATTATAATTTTCATGTCATATTTTAGAACTTCTAATATATTTGGTCAATTGTTTAAAATTACAATGGAGCCTTCCTCTTGACTTTTGTACTTTCATCCTGCCTATGCTGTTTGTTTCAAGAATGGATCTTTGCACAGCAACTGCGGGTATGAGAAGTTCTGATAAGACTTTTAAGGTGCAGGGAAATGCACAAAGCACAATCACACGGGGAAGAGTTAAATTTATTCTCTATTTCCAAGAGGATCCACTAATCAATTTTGCTTAAATTCCAAGACTCCCAAACCACCTAATAAAGTTTAAACACTTTGAAGGAGACACGTAAGATTAGACATTCAAAATCAATCACACACACAAGGCAATTTAGAAAACCATTGCATGACCTAACCAGTTTGGCTCAGTGGATAGAGCATCAGCCTTTGGACTGAAGGGTCCCAGGTTCGACTCTGGTCAAGGGCAAAAAAAAAGAAAAGAAAACTATTGCACATGCCCATAGACAGATACAGGCTCAAAAAAAGATAGGAAAAGAACATAAGCTTTCTCCTTCAGCTGATCCCCAACACAGAGATATTCTTCAACAATTAAAAAATAATAATAAAAAGAAAGCAATTCCATCTACAATAGCATCTAAAAGAAGTAAATACTTAGGAGTAAATCTACCCAAGACATGAAAGATTTGCATACTGAAAACTACAAAACATCCTTGAAAGAAATTAAAGAAGGCCTAAGCAAATAGAAAGACATCCCATGTTCATGGATTCGAAGACATACATTGTTAAGAAGTCACTGCTACTGAAAGCACTCTACAAAATCATCACAATCCTTATAAAATTCCAAGAGCCTTTTTCACAAATAATGGAAAAGCTGGTCCCTCAAATTCCTATGAATTTAGCCAAAACAATCTTTAAAAAGAAGAAAGTTGGAAGACCCACATTTCCCAACTTTAAATGTGGTATAAAACTACAGTATTTAAAACAGTATCGTACTGACAAAAGGACAGAAATATAGATCAATGAAATGGAATAGAAAGAACAGCAATAAACCTTCATGTATATAGTCAATTGATTTTCAACAAGGGTGCCAAGACCATTCCATGAGAAAAGGATAATCTTTTCAGAAAAAAAAGAAAAAAGAAAAAAAAACACTGAATACCCACATGCAAAAGAAAGAATTTGGACCCATACCTTACCCCATATACAAAAATTAACTCAAAATTGATCATAGACCTAACGTGAAGATGCAAAGCTATATAAAGCCTTTAGAAGAAAACATGGAGAAAATCTTCATGGCACTAGAGTTGGCAATGATTTCATGAATGTGACACCAAAAGCACAGAGCAAAAGAAAAATTAGGTAACTTGAACTTCATCAAAATTAAAAATATTGTACAGCAAAAGACACTTTCAAGAAAGTGAAAAGACAACTTACACAATGAGAGAAAATACTTGCAATTCGCATATCTGATAAGGGGTTAATATTTAGAGTCCACAAAGAACTCCCAAAACAACAAAGAACTCTATTTAAAAATGGGCAAAGGGCCGAAACCGGTTTGGCTCAGTGGTAGAGCATCAGTCTGCGGACTGAAGGGTCCCGGGTTTGATTCCGGTCAAGGGCATGTACATTGGTTGTGGGAGCTGGTCGATGTTTCTCTCTCATCGACGTTTCTAGCTCTCTATCTCTCTCGCTTCCTCCTATCTGTAAAATATCAATAAAATATATTTTTTTTTAAATGGGCAAAGGATTTGAGGAAACATTTTTCCAAAGAAGGTATGCAAATAGCCAGTAAGCACATGAAAAGATGCTCAACATCATTACTCATAATGGAAATGGAAATCAAAACCACAATGAGATATCACTTCATTCCTATAGCATGGTTATAATTATTTTTTTTTTTTTAGTTTTTTGAAACAAACCCACACACACAAAAAAAACAAGTGATAGATCCTCCCTTCCCCTAACTGATGGACGGAGTATGACGTAAACGGCACCTGAGCACCTAACCAGGCACCTTATATGGACTGTACATTGAACCACCAATCAGTACATGCCAAATACCCTAAGCCCTCCATTCCTAAGTACCTACGTGCCTATTCATGTGCCTTATATGAAACCACCAATCAGCGTGTGCCAAGTACCCTAAGCCCCATCCCTTTCCATTCCTCCCCTCAAAAGGCGGTTCCCCTCTGCATGTGCTGCTACTCTCCCCTGCGAAACAGCCGGGCAGGGGTCCTTCTCCTCTAATAAAGCCTGCAGTCCTGGTTTTCGGCCCTCTGGCTCATCTTTCAACAAGTATTGCCCTCGCTGGTGTGGCTCAGTTTGTTGAGTGCTGTTCCCATGCAGCAGATGTCAGGGCACGCTGGGGTTTCTGGGCTGGATCCACAGCAGGGGGTATGCAGAAAACAGTGAATTGATGTTTCTCTCTCTTCCTCTCTCTCTCTCTCTCTTTCTCTCTCTCTCTCTTTCTCTCTCTCTCTCTCTCTCTCTCTCTCTCTCTCTCTCTCTCTCTCCCAATCAATTAATAAAAACATATTTTTAAAAAGAAAACTAACAAGAATCGGCGATGATGTGGAGAAATTGAAATCCTCATACACTGTTGGTGGGTATGTAAAGTGGCACAGCCACTGTGGAAAACAGCTGGGTAGCTCTTCGGAAAAGTAAACAGAACTACCATATGACCTAGCAATTTCCCTTCTAAATGTATATCCAAAAGATAAGTACACAAAGTAAAGAGGTGGGGGAGGGGGGGGTCAGCTTAGTGGTCAATGTGGTCTTGTAGATCACTCCTGTGCTGCAGAATATCAGGAACTTTTGGGAGCCTCATCTGGACTTCTTACTCTGCAGGCTCTGACCACGAGCAAAGACTCATGTTAGGCAAGCAGACCTAACATGTTTGCTGGAAGCCTGGCTTCCCGGGCTGGGCTCCTCCCCGCCCTAAACTCAGCCACACCCTGGTTTGGCTCTTAAACCGAACCCTGGTTTGGCTCTTAAACCGAATAGTTGAACAGAAAACCGAAGTGACGAGATTCAAACTGAGCAGGACGTCCTGTCCCTAGCTCCTCACTCATCTTCCCCAAAGGAGGGAAACCTGATCTGTCCCAGCCCCTTCCCCGGGCCCCCCTGGGCCACTGCAGGCGCAGGCAGCGGTTGGGTAACACAGAGGTCAGGCAGAGGGAGTTTGCCACAGTAAACACGGGACAAAAAACCGGGCGGCCTCCTCTGGCTTGCACAAGGGCTCTTTCGGGAAGTCAGCTGCTGGCACCGGCCGCGGGCTGAGAGCCCAGCCACTTTCCCGGAGCACCCTCCACCTTGTCGGGTGACCTCAAGCAGAACGCTCTCTGTACTAAAGCCATGCTATTGTGAAAGTTTGAACATGCTTTGGGCCCAGACAGTAAATAGCCGCTGCCCCGAGGCCCTTCCAGAGCCACCCGCATGTCTCCCCGCAGCCCCTACCTCACAGACCACCCCAGTCAGGAAACTAACGGAAGGGGGTCCTCCAGGCACTGGATCCAACAACCTTCGGTGAGAATCAGTTTTCATCAGAAGTACAGTCTCTACTACCGGGTTGTTTTTTTATCCTAATTTTAGCAAGTGAAACTTCATTTCAAATTTGCATTTTAACGTTTGCTTCTCTCTGTACCCAGGCCCCTCTCCAGGTTCTCCAGTGGTCTACACTGCCCTCTGGTGGCAGAACGTTGATATTGCAAGTCCCCTGTAGAAATATCTTGACCCTTTCCCCTCCCCCTCTGAATTCATCCTGTTGTCCCTTCATGGGGAGAAATAGAACTCTCTTCTCAAACCTCTAACCAAATAGTTCAAAATTAAGATTGGAAGTACCATATTTTCTTACAATTAGGGTGAAATAGCATCAACAACTGGTGCACGATATGGTTGTTTTGTTTGGCTGTTCATATGCCCATAAATGGGTTTATGACCTAAACTGAGAAACTGTAGTTCAAATTGTGAGGGACGCCCTGTGTGTTTGACTCTTTCTAGACCTCTTCTGAGCTGTCCCATTTCATAGGTACCTGAGGCCTTCATCGGGCCTAGGTCTCCCCAAGGACAAGGCATCTGCCTCCACAGGCTGGTGTGCCCGGAGATTGCAGAGCACGTGAGGTGCACCTGGACAGCCTCCCCAGAGTGCAGAGCCTGCTGGCTTCCACTGGCTTGCCCCTCAGATTCTCTGCTCAGTGAGTGCTTCCTGCAAGGCGGCTTGAACAGCGGCAAGAGGGGCTGGGCAGGGGTGCAGAGAATGGGCCAAGACCCAACCCTGTGCCCACCGCAGCCTTGAGGCCCACAGTTCCTTTCAAGGTGCACGAATTCATGCACTGGGCCCCTAGTTATTAATAATAGGAAAGGAGAAAAGGGAAGATCCAGACGTTATGGCCATATTCCCTGCAAAACACTGGGGGAGGGATCCAACAAAGGGACAATAGACGCATACTCAGTAAAGTTGAGATGACATAGGGAAGGTATTTGCATGTCAGTCACACCTGGGGATAGAGATGGTTAGCCAGAATGGGCATGGCCACTGCAAATACTCAGAAGTTTGGGATATATAATCCCCTGAACAAAGTTTACTCTCTCTCGAAATCTGGGACTGCTGGCTCCTAACCGCTCACCTGCCTGCCTGCCTAATCACCCCTAACTGCCTCTGCCTGCCTGCTTGATTGCCCCTAACTGCTCTCCCCTGCTGGCTTGATCACATCCCCAACTGCCCTCCCCTGCAGGCCTGATCTTGCTCCCAATGGCCCTCCCCTGCTACCCTGATCACACCTCTGCCTTGGCCCCCCACCACCATGGCTTTGTCCAGAAGGAAGTCAGACAT